TTTTTTTTAGTAAAAGTCTCCATAATTCCAGTTGATCTTGTTGTTCTCGTCAGATACTTGATGGTATCTGCTCTCTTATTCACAATTGTTCATTTCAATTTTATCTATGTGTGCACTTGTTCTATTCACAGCTCACATATGCAGACGTAGTTCAGTGATTATTCACAGCTACATGGACATCACTTCAAACACAATGTAACCGAACACCTCTACCGAATTCTGATCCATCGGAAATGGATACACAGGCTTTTTCATATCATAGGATCCAATGCAGTGCATCACAGCCGCTTGGCAACTATAAATATCGCGTTGGTCAATCTTCAAAATCTTTCCGCCAAAAATATCTCGAAACATTAAGCCACAAAGCACAGTAGAAACCTTTCTCTCATATACTACTGTTTACTATATATACTTAGGTACTCAACCAAATCTGACATTCAAAATGCCTAACACACAAACAACTATACGCAAAGACCACAAGAAGTGGAAATGCCAGAACAAGGTCAACGATCAGATTTGTGGCAAGATCAGCGACATCACCGAGACCATGTGCGAGTGTAGAATCCGGCGGAAGCCCGACACCGAAGCCCTCGCAGAAGACGATTCTGTCATTGGAGAGATGTACAAGTTAGACGATGACTTGACGGAGCATTGGAAGTACTTTAGCCCTGAGAAGATATCGTAGATTGTTGTGAAATCAATTAAGATAGATTTTTAAAAAGCTACAGTCTTTGCTCGATGGATCAAGACCCAAAATAAAAAATTCAACCTTCTCATACCGAGTTGCTTGTGACCAGTGCCTGAAAAATTGCTGTTTCATTCCATTAAGGTAAGCCGAAGGAGCAACTGTTGGTCTTCTCAATCAACTTCCAACATTCAATCGACGTCGCGATTCAACGACCATATATCATCAAAAGTGACTGCGCCATAACAATCTGTGCTCATATAACACATGTTTCCGGTCAGTATACGTATCCCTCGAGTATTGATCGTGCTTCAACGCGACGCGTTCATTACGCGTTATTCATTAATTCGTTACCCTACATTAATCTCGGTCGGTGATGTGGCTCCGCAAAAACTGTGGCACAACAACAAAAACGGCTAACCCCATGCAGATCTCACCTTAGCTAATCGTGACAGGGGTGCTATCAAGGACACTCTGTACAGCCTCCCTTCAATCAATTCGACCGTCATCATCCCCAGTCGCATCGCATCGCATCGCATCACGCATCTCGACCACCGCGCGATTGATTGAATGAATGCTCCCGACCGCTAGATCACGACCATCTCAGTCTGGCATCATGGGCCAAGGGCAACAGCCGGATCTGCTGCCTCGCTCTGAGCACGAGGATAAGCTCTCATCAGCCCCAAATTCACGACTCAACAGAGACAAGATCAAGTGTCTCGACGGTCTTCGAGGTATCGCCTGCCTCCTCGTCTTTAACTACCATTTTTTCTGGCCATGGACGCCCGTTATTATGCTCGGTTATGGCGCGTTTCCTCCACGTGCGCCTGAGCCTTATTGGGGCTGGCAATCGCTCCCCATCATCTGTCTCTTGCATCGCGGACGTGCTATGGTCGCCATCTTCTTCGCCATCTCGGGATATGTCATCTGTCGCCATATCCTCCGCTTGATCCATGAGCGCAAGCTTGATACTGCTTATCAGAAGCTTGCATCTTCCGTCTTCAGGCGGGTCTTTCGCCTTTACATCCCCCCCACTATCAGCATGTTCCTGGTGGCTGTGCTAGCTCAGGTTGGCGTCTTCAAGTCCGAATTCTCCATCTACAAGGGCCCTGACTCTCATTACATCAACGCTACTATCACCCATGCCGATTTGGCCGAGAGCAACATTTGCCTCAATGGAACTGCTGTTAGAGGTGCAACAGGCATTGCGAACTATCTGGGTCTCGAGACCACCGCATACCTGCGCAACACGACTGGCTACCCACTGGGAAACACCACTGAATGGACCGACATGCTGCTTTGTGTTAACCACACTACGCGATCTTATGGACCATCTCAGCTCTACACATTAGAATCCGAGTACGAAGCCCAGTTCCCAAAGAACGACACCAACACGACAAAGCTAGTGGAAGATTCGTCCGCGATGGAGCGACTGGCATCACTCAGCTACTACGATGAAGACCTGGACCTATCTCTTAATGCCACCAATGCTACGAACCCTCTTAACTTGACCTGGGTTCAGATGGGCGGCTCGTGGGAAGAGCATCCTTTCATCCACCCCAACTTGACATACGCCATGAAGAACTTCACACGCTCCTATGCTGAGTGGGCCAACCCTTTCAACTTTGGCCACTATCATCCCCGCTACGACCCCCACACCTTCACAATTCCAATGGAACTTCGCGGCTCGATGCTCATCTACATCTTCCTTCTCGGCACGGCGTTCATGAAGGCCAAGTGGCGAACGAGAATCGGCAGTTGCTTGTCTGCGTACAGCTTGATCTTTGGACGTTGGGACATGGCGACATTCTTGGGCGGCATGCTGCTCTCGGAGCACGACATCCGTCGATCCTCTGAACAGCCGCCATCAGCTGCTGGCGCGAAAGCTCGAGCCGTGGATTTCCAGCGGACGACAAAGGGAACGGCGTTGAGGTGGGCTGGTATAGTCTTGGCGCTTTACTTCCTCTCCTACCCTGACGCTGGTGCCGAGTATACTCCTGGTTTCGCGTATCTTTCAACTTGGGTACCGAGGTACTACATTCCGCTGTCCGGATGGATGTTCTACCAGGCGATGGGTGCGGTTCTTCTCGTCGCCTGTATCATGCGCAGTCCAGTCCTCGTTCGTATGCTCGAAAGTCGATTTCCACAGTATCTGGGCAAGGTCAGTTTCTCACTGTATCTTGTTCATGGCCCTGTTCTGCACAGTCTGGGATTCTGGATCATGCCACGACTGTTTGACAGTTTCGGAAAGATGGGCGGTTATGCGATCGGATGGGTTATTCTTATGGCCGTTACGTTCTATCTGACCAATCTGTGGAATAATAAGGTTGACGTTTGGAGTGTCACCGTCGGAAGAAGAGTGGAGAAGATGCTTGCAGAGGAATAATGACGATTTGGTGATGATGATGATGACAACAATCGATGGTCAACAAGCGCGAAAAATGCCGACGATGTAAATAGGTGATTTCATAACTGCGAAATGAAAGGCATCTGAGCATGCTGCAGAATGAGTTGATATGTAAAGAAATGTATTCGTGCAACTGAAACGTCTTCCATAATGTTTTCCGTGAGTTGACTGTCGAGAGTATAAGAGACATAATAAGTTGGTCATTCAATGCTACCTTTGGACCGATTTTATTCTGGGACCGTAAGCTCTAACATTTTTCGTTATCTGCCGACGTTGGAGCTACGTCATCCCCGCTTCTGCACCAAGCGAAGTCGGACCCATTACTTCTTCAAATCACTGCTCCTGACATCATTGAAACACCATCGATTTCTTCTTCTTTCACATTCATGAATAGAAAAATACTCGCCAAAATGACATCGCAACCGTCACTTCTCTCCGCAACGGCTAAGGTATGGATCACCCAATTGGCGAATGATCCCCGCGTCAAGATATCAAACCCAACGTCGAAAGCATAAGGAACGAAAGAATGTGGTCACTCTATGCGAGTTGAGACCGGTCTTAGGCTCCAGATGTCTCCTGATCCCACGAAGTCTAGGAATCGGCTGTTCTGAAGTATCTCAGCTAACGCAGTTCAGCTCAACAATGGCCTCATCATCCCCCGTGTACAGCTCGGCCTCTACATGATGTCCACCAAGGAAGCCACCGATGCAGTCCGCCAAGGCCTTCTGACTGGGTACCGCGCATTTGACTGTGCGCAAATGTACCGAAACGAGCGTCAGGCTGGTAAAGCTATCAGTGACTTCCTCGCTAGTAGCGAGAACAAGTCCGATTTGAAGCGCGAAGATATCTGGTACACTTCCAAGCTTGCCAGCTGCGACGACTCGTACGATGTGGTGAGGCGATCGGTGAAGAAGTCAGTGGAGGCTTCGGGCTTGGGATACATCGATCTATTCCTTCTACACAGCCCTTACGGCGGAAAGGAAGCGAGACTCACTAGCTGGAAGGCTCTTGAGGATGCCATTGACGCGGGTGAAATTCGTGCTGCCGGGGTGAGCAACTTTGGTTCTGGTCATGTGAGTCTAAGATGCTCCCACGAGCTCCAGAAGATAGCTAACGTCCCCTAGATCGAGGAGCTGATGGCCTCAAACCCTCGCATCCCCCCTGTCATCAACCAGATCGAGGTTCACCCCTTCAACACCCAAGAAGGCATCCGCGCCACCTGCGCCAAGTACAACATCGCCATCGAAGCTTATGCCCCTCTAGCCCGCGCCGAGCGCATGGATCACCCTGCCATCCTCGACATGGCCAAGAAGTACTCTGTCACTCCAGCCCAAATATTCGTCAAGTAAGAACAGACCTGTTAGATCCTGAAGCAAAAGCTTTACTGATTAACAATGTTTTAGGTGGGGTCTCCAGCATGACTTTATTACTTTGCCCAAGTCTACTAAGCAGAAGCGCATGATCGAGAATGCAAGTGTCGATGGATTTGAGATTTCAGAAAGCGATATGAAAGCGTTGGACGCTTTGGATGAGCACTTGGTCACTGACTGGTGAGTACAGTGCGGGATGGTCAACCAATTTGTGGCTAATGAATCAATAGGGACCCTACCGATGCGCCGTAGTTTGTTCAGTGTCGCTTCAAAGTTCGAGATATGAAAGAGCCCCTGGGGCTAAGTTGGGACCAGAACTTAAATTGAATCTTTCTTGGACATCAGAAGGCTTGATTATCGTGACTACGAGCGAGAAAACTAATAATCTATGCTATATACCTAGGTATTTAACTTAGGCATGCTACTTCTTCACGCTATTGGTGAATGCTCAGCATTCAACTGTAGGCCAATCAAAAGACAAGGCGAAGCGCTCGCTAATACAGCCCTTGGAAACCAGGCATGCACTTCGCTCAAACACTCCTACCCCATGTGGTTTCCCCTCGTCAACCTACCCTTGACATCACAGACATTTTTCACCATTCTAAGACCTATACTAGCCAGTACATTTTTCTCCGCGCAGTTTGAGTGTTACGTTGGCGATGGATCCTGACGACCTAGTAAAACATACAAAGAAGCTCCACGACGTAGCCGGCCATGCGTACAACAAACGTGTGGCTTTTCAGTCAATCGCTTCTGATCGCCATCGAAAAGTTCTCGACAGCGCTATCAGGAATGTCCTCGGTACAGAACTAGCGAAATTTACCTACGCACAGATTATTGATGGCCTCCCAATCGCGGATGTTGCCTTCGATCGACGAATCACTGGCATTGGAGGAGATCACCCTATTGATGATCATGAGACGTTGTGCCCCGGAGCCTTGGAGTTGGCCGAGGAATATTACCAAGAGTGGGAACCTGCAAAGCTCAAGTTTAATCCTGACGTAAGTTCACTGAAACCCAGTGATGCTCTGGTTCCTAACATTAAATCAAAGACGATCCGGATCTTTGAAACTTCCAAGCCCGGCTCGAAGGCTTTCAGTACCATGCTTGTAGAGCTGGTAGCCGTTTCTTTACATCAGATTGCTGTGCTGCTATTCAAAGCGGACCACCGACTACACGAAGGTGACATTGATGCTGTCACAGACTGGAGACTGCCCCTGGTCGGCGACATGCTGGACATTCCTTCTGGACCTACTCTTTTTACCCACCACGGGTACCAAGATGATGATATATATCCTGAGGGTGTGGTAGATATGGTCGGTTACTGGGCCGAAGATCGAATATTGGGTGGTGTAGCTGTTTTCGAACGACGTCCCGCCGACTTGAGTGAGATTCCTAACATCTACTTCCATTCCTGTCGTAAATGCCAAACAATACGGGTCTATCAACTTCGAGATGAACAGCAGCAAGCCCTATTTGACCTCCTTCTTCAGGAAGAAGGGGCGTCATTGCCATCACCACTTCCAATACTATCAGACAAACACAATCGTGTACGCGTTGATGCACCGAGGGCACTGACGCACCATCATATTTATAGAGATATTTGGGAACGAAAACCTCTAGATATCTTCCAATGGCGGATCTTCAACAAGAGACCGCAAGATGAGATAGACTACCCAGAGATTGGGGAAACGATTCGACGGATCAATACACAGCTAGGGATCCCTCTACCTCGACCTCGTCCACGTTCTCTATCACCGCCAGCGAGTGCTGAAGACGAGAAGAACTATAGAGACAGGGAATAGTCGACTTTGATTAAGGCATCCACGGCCAGAGTTTACTGTGTAGCAGAAAACCTGTTCATTAAGAGATAGAGCAGCCCAAATGATGATGATACACGGTAGCATTAAGTGACATTAGGCTCTTGGCGACTAATTGTCCGATGAGGCCTTGGAACTGTCGCCTTGACATCGCTTTCCCTTGTGAAGAATCGGCATGTCGTCCGTAACACCCTTGATCTCACTCTCACAAAACTCGACGTTGAACCAACCGCCGAATATCTGATTTGCGTGACCCTCCGCAGGAACACGACCACCCGTGCCGCCTTCACCAATGAGATAAGCGGGGTCAAGGCTTCCAGTAGCGATGCTTATGTCCTCTCCATCGGGGTGCCAAAAGAGAAACGACCCGCACGTGTCGCAGAAGCCTCGGGAGATTGTCTCCGTCTTCTTGTATCTCTTGATTCTGTTCTCAGAGTCGCCTTGCCACTCAATGGCCGAGATAGGGACCGTCAACGTAGCCAGGAAGAAGCTGCCTGTTTGCTTGCGACATTGGGTGCACTGACAGATACACCCCAGAGTATCGTTGGCAAGATCGTGGTGCGCTGGAAAGGTGATCTTGTAGCGGACGGATTCGCAGAGACATCCACCCTCGAGCCGTAGTTCTGATGCCATGGTGATTTCTGTAATTGTGGATCAGATGGAGATGCCGAAGTGAGTGTGTTAGAGTTGAGTATGGATGATCTGCTTCAGTTTATATGAGATTTGGAATGATGACGTTGCTCTGAATCACACATGTCAATTGCGCCCTGTGAGCTTGGTTCGATGAGCTGGCTAAAACAACGCAATGAAGGAGTGACACAAAAGGAAGCTCTCAAAACGAAAGTAATCAGTGATAATGGTCTCAACTCAATTTTTATTTATCAAGAAAACGCGGTATATAATTTGTTTAAAGTTCTATATTGTGATATCTTGTCATAAATCATTCAATCTCCTAAGAGACGACCTTTCCAGTAATCCATCTGCCTCCGTCTTTTCCTTATAAATATCTATTTGGGGTTGGAAGGCAGGTTCTGCACAGCCCAAGCTCTTTGCTCATCAACATACTGCTGAGAGAAAGGATAATCGACATAGCCAATTTCTGAACCTCGGATGTAGAAAGTGTGACGGTCATACTTGGTCAGCTCGATGCCGTGCTTGACTCGGTAGACAAAGTCAGGATTGGCGATAAAGTGTCGGCCAAAGGCAACGAGAACGTCCCACTTGCTGTAGTGGCCGTCAAGAACCTCGGCGGCGGACTCGGGAGTGTAGTTACCAGCGACCATAACAGGCGAGAGGTTGTTCCAGATCTCAAGGATGAAGTCGAGGGTCTTGGCCTCTGTGGAGTCATCGTTGTCAGGAGCAAGAAGCTTGGCGGGGTCACCACGGGCTTCGACTAGAGAAAGATAGGCGAGGGGACCAATCTTCTTGAGTTCGTTGATGATGTATGTGTATTGTCCCTTGATGTCTGATGATTCTGAACCTTGGAACGAGGCATAAGGCGAGAGACGGAGAGCGACTCGCTTGGAGCCGACCTCGGCAGAAACGGCCTTGACGACTTCAAGCAGGAGACGAGCGCGGTTCTCGACGGAACCACCCCACTTGTCGGTACGCTTGTTGATAGAGTCGGATGTGAATTGGTCGATGAGGTATCCGTGTGCACCGTGAACCTCAACAATATCACCACCAGCATCGACGACTCGTCGAGCAGTGGCAACCATGTCTCGAATGAATTGCTGAATCTCCTCCTCGCTCATAGCTTCAGGAGCAGGAGCACCCTCCTCGATAGGCACAGCGCTGGAGGAGCGGTACTTGTATCCACGCTGCTTGATGTATTCAGGATCTGAAGCACGTCCTTGACCCCAGATTTGCTGGGCCCAGAAGGACTTCTTCTCATGAACACCAGCGATGACCTTCTTCCAAGCGGCGACTTGATCATCTGTGACAAAAGCAGGACCATGAGGCATACCAGTGTCCTGCATTGAGACACCAGTAGCTTCTGAGATCACGAGAGTACCTGGAGCTGAGGCTCTCTCGGAGTAGTATCGCTCTACAAAAGGCTTAGCAACATTGTTCTCGTCATTGCGGTAACGAGTTAAAGGTGCCATGACAATTCGGTGGTCGAGCTTGGCATCCCCAACTTGGATAGGCTTGAATAGCCTGCTGTCGGGAGAAACAGTGGGTGCTGTCTTTGAAAGAGTCATATTGGCGGTTTATAAAGTTCAAGTAAAGGTAATACTTCGAAAGAAAGAAGCAATCGCTGTCTATGAGATGCTTTGGACTTGATGATACGAAAATCCATCTTGGACTAGGGCTATGAGTCTACTTATACACCAAAGAATGAAAAACTTAATTAGAGATCACCGCTATCTTCCAAGGTCTTCTTGAGGGTCAACGTTGAGGTGGATTAAGGCGCAATAGCCAGATTATGTCATGGCGTGCATGACTCGATTTCCAACTCCGGGACTCCGTCAAAAAAAAAAAAAATGTTGATTCGGTGATATCCGAGCCAGTTATGACAACTCCTGGAGCTGACAAATTGAGCGACCAATTGGAGTAACTCCTCGATAAGAGTCTCCACAGCATCACCGACGATTACCCAGGTTTTTCGGAGTTGGATAAGACACGATAAAGCGAGATAAGATAAGGTTACTCGTCCAAGCTAAGGAATGACGTCACAATGCCAGAGATACTGGACGCTCGCGTTGACAATAGAGCCAATTGGAATCACTCATTTTGTGTCAGCATCACAACACCATCAATGCCATACGGAATATTCGCTTGTTACCAGTGATTTGAGAGTCTTGTATGCCCGTGGTTACATATCCGTTGCTGCATGTCCGTAGGATACGGTCAATCGTTTACATATATATAGACGAGTAGATCACCGTTGACTCAGAACTTCACCAACGACAATTCAATACAATCACAACAGTATATCAACCTTTCCAAGTGACCATTTCTTCAGTATCAAACATCATTTCATATCAACACCTAAAACTTCGCTGAAAATGTCTCTACCCCGCCGAGCTCTCATCAGCATCACCTCTGCTTCCGCCAGTCTTTTCGATGGCAAGGAGACCACTGGTCTCTTCATCACAGAGGCTCTCCACCCCTACAATGTTCTCACTGCTGCAGGCTTTGAGGTCGATCTCACTTCCGAGACTGGCACTTACACGCCTGACTGGCTCTCCCAGCAGCCCGACTTCCTCAACGGTGATGATCTAGCAATCTGGAGTGACACCAACAGCGAGTTCCGTAAAAAGCTTGACAACATGCCAAAGGCTTCTGAGCTCGATGCCTCCAAGTATGGCTTGTTCTACGCCTCGGCTGGCCATGCAGCTCTGATTGACTACCCCACTGCGACGTCTCTCCAGATGCTTGCCGCTCAGATCTGGTCCAACGGCGGAGTCGTATCTACTGTCTGTCATGGTCCAGCTATCTTTGCCAATCTCATCGACCCCACAACCAACGAGCCTCTTATCAAAGGAAAGGAGATTACTGGATTCACCACCGAAGCTGAGAAAACTCTGAAGATCATGGGTGAACTGCGAAGCTGGGGCTCTGAAATGGTTGAAGAGGTTGCTTCTCGTCTCGGTGCGACCTGTAAGTTTTCTCAATATTATTAACAGATGGGTCAGAACTAACTTTGGTACTAGATGTACGTGCTCCTGGTATCTGGGACGACTTCCACATTGTCGATGGCCGATTGGTTACTGGTCAGAACCCTGCCAGTGCTACATCGACTGCTACAGCGGCTGTAGCTGTCTTCCAGACTCTCTGATATCATTCTAGTCAAACAGCTGTTTTGATGATTGATGTTTCGAGAGGGGAATGGATCCACACTGAACTTCTTTCAAATCTTTTCGTTCGGTATTAGCTAGTTTGTTACTTCAAGTTTCTTTAATGGAAAATTCTTTAGCAATTGTAAAATATTGGTTGCTGCTCATAAACTCATAAGCCTCGTGTATCATGATGCAATTCCCTCGGTCCCAAAACTGCCTGGCAAAAGCATATCCAACTCTGCCCAGAAGTCAACGTGCATGGCCATATCTAAAAGATCAAAATCGCCCCCAATAGCATCGAACTGGCTAGGAACATCCTCCCGTAGTAGAACCTCTTTACCTAATAAGGAATTGTCATTGCAGAACTCAAGAATGCCGTCTCGACCTTCCCCAAACTGTGACATGACCGCTTCAATATTTGCGTGCAACGTTCGGACGATAATGGCTGCTTTTGCCGCAGCGTCAAAGCTCGGTGCGAACAAGTCGAGAACTGTAACTGCTAATCCGATCGACTGTCGAGCCTTTGGTGCTAGGGTATGTTGCGTATTGCCTACAACAAAGCCAACTAGCGTCATTGCGGCGCTCCACTGCCACTGGAACGCCTCATGCCAACCGGTGATTATTGTTGTTGTGGTCAAGACTTGATGGGTAATATTCGTCAATTCCATAGCATGCTGGGCACACTTGGCGGCCATCTCGATGGTTGAGCTCCCGTGTTGAACGGAAAATGAGATAAAGGGACGAAGAAGGCTGATGGATAAGTGATTGTACTCCAGCTCGAGACATACCCTTTGTCTTTGAAGCCAGAGCGGTGCGTATTGCTCGAGTTCGAGCGCTGAACCATCACCAGAAAATGCTATACCGTCTTTTCGCTTATTCTTGAGGGCGTCGGGAACTTGTCTCGTCCAGTCCAATAGGGTTACGGCTTTTGGCCCCCAGCTGGTAGCAAGATCGTCCATTGTGCGGCAGCCGTCATAAATAGATTGGCCATCCTTGACTTTAACCTCCTGGCTGAAGAAAGACAGGTTCAGGTCTCGCGCAACTTGGTAGAGTTTGTACCTTTGCAAGTTGAGGCTCAGCCAGGTAGCATTGCCCCCGATGGGCGCAAAGGTCGATCCTGACTCCATGGCTGCTGCAAGATTGTCGCTGGGTAGCTGAGGCATGGCATGCGTTGTACGAACGAGGAACGGACGGCCGACTTTGATACCGACCTTGGTGTCGAGTTCGAAGACAGACCACCACAAGCGTCTCCGTAGCTCTTGTTCTCGTGAAGGCAAATTGGACGGTGGATCTAGATGTAATCCAAGCATATAAGCTGTCCGAACAGCAAGAGAACAAATACTATCCGCCATATTGTGAAACGATCCCACACAGACGTACACGCCACATAGTAGATGGCACTGTAGCGTTGATAGCGAGGGGCTTTCGACTTCGCAAGCTAAGAGCGTCTGAGCTCGCCTATAGTACCACCGACCAGCCAGCGTTGCGTCGTTGTCTTCCACAATGTTCGTCTTGTCTCCAGTAGGTCGAGAGGAGACATGATATTGCATACACATGGCGATGATGATATCCACTAGCGCCGATTGCTTTCTGGGTAGCCCTGGGGGAACATCAACGTAAAGACTCTGAACGTGCGACTTGAAGCTCGCCTCATCGACGATGGCGTATAATGATGTGTGATAGGTCTCCCAGTACAAGCTCAGGAAGTATTCCTCTTGAATCGGGGACAGATAAAAGACTTCATCGGCAGCCCCTGTCAGCGGAGCCAAAAGTCTGGAAGAGTCTTGCGCAATGTTTGGCTGCTCACGCAACTCTAGATTGCTTGCGAGATGGATGAGCATATGTTCTGCCTGGGTACTCAGAAAGTTACTCAGTCGATGCGTGAAGAAGTAAAGCGACGAAGGCCCAAACCAGGCGCTGTGGGGAGATCGCGCCGGTCGAAGAAAGACGCCATCCCAAGGTTTTATCTTGTTGGTTTCTTGGACTGCTGATTGCTGGAAAGAAGGCGACCCGCTTGGCGGTGTTGGCTCTTGTACATGCGTAACAGGGGATGTTCTGTTACTATGCGCCTGTGCCAGTTGAGCCTCCAGTTCTTTCACTCTCCTTCTTAACGAATCAATCTCATCTTGCGCCTGCGGGAGAGTCAATATCAATGATGCAGTGCTTTTGCTGCACTCTCTACCCCGGGTGTGGCAATTGAGACACGGGGCGCCATCGTCGCATTTTATCCGTTGGAGTCTGCACCCGTCGCAGGCTCGGCCGACTTGTTTTCGCTTTCGCCTGAGACCGAGTCGTTGGTGAGCGTCGTTTAGTGGCGTTACTGACTCGCTCATCGGATCCCAACAAAGCTTATTTTACTCGGTGCGATTTTGAAGGGGGAAGCATTTGGTGAAACAATGAGTCTGACACAATTGCCATGATAAAAACACTGTTAGCTGCAGCATTGCCGCTGACAGACCTGGAGACTAGCCTAAAGGCAGCACTAAAAAGATAAACTGATAAGAGACGCTGACTAATCTTGGTAGCAAGTCAGCTGCCAGTAAAAGCGATCTGAGCCGATTGAGACTGGTGATGTCAGATTCGATCATCAATGTTCGGTGTGTAACAAACAGTACAATATTTATGTCGGTACAATATAGCTGTTTCTTCAGATGGTAGAGGTCGCAAGAGAGACGTAAACGCCTCTGCAGTTGATGGTTTACTCATTGGTGGCTCATTTCATCATTGTCGGGGCGATAGTCTAGCGCCGGTCACTCCAATGTTCAATGTTGACGTAGTTGATCTTCTACCAAGCGCGTTAGACTTTTCGCCCTTCATCTCAACCTCTCAAATCAAATTTCTTCTGCTTACTATAATTGCTCCATCAGTCTTTCAATCCCAACTTTCTCTTATATCATAAGCCTGGTCCCCTTTTTCTCGTTTCTTTGTTTAATGTCCTCAGCCTCCAGCGCCGATGCTGCGGATATATCCTTGGTAAGAAATGGAAAGCTTCTTATTCAGCACTCGACTAACTTCTGTAGGCTGCAGCCGTTGCGGCTCTGAGTGTCGAGTTTGTCGTACACCCATTCGACACTCTCATCACGCGTATCCAATCTCCCGAGTACATACCCAAGTACAGAAGCCATGAAGGCAAACTACAACCAGCCTTGTTCCGTGGTCTTTACCGCGGCATAGCGCCAACAGTTATCACAACTATACCGGCTTCCGTCACATTCTTCGGCATCTATGAGAAGGCGAAGACGACTCTGCAGCCGAAGGAAGGGCTGAAGCCAGGCAGCATGGCTCAGGTAGCTGTGCATGTTACGAGTAGTGCGCTGGCGGATATGGTTGCTTGTGCTATCATCAACCCTTCCGAAGTGCTCAAGCAAAATGCTCAGGTGTCGAGGTTCTCTGAAGGTAGTGGGCAACGTTTTCCGGTCTTATCCGCCTTAAAGCACTTCTCTCGACAACCCTTGAAATTGTGGACTGGATATACCGTCCTGGTCGCAGGCAATCTTCCGCGCACGAGTCTCACATTCTCGATTTACGAATACCTCAAAGCTACATGGTTAAAAAGACTGGACAAATCGCCAAGTATCACTGAGCAGGTCAAGGTGAGTGGTATCACGGCTGGTATCGGAGGCGCCATCGCATCTTTACTCTTCGTCCCCATCGATGTGGTAAAGACAAGAATGCGTCTCCCCGAAAAGGCTCCTCCTAGCCATCCATTACAGCCAGAATCGCTATTCACGTCAACGCTGAGTCGGGAAAAGGCTCGAAAGCCTGCAGCAAGTGGACCTATTTCGATTGCAAAGGGCATTTTGGTTAGGGATGGAGTTTCTGGGCTGTTTCGAGGAGCTACTGTGACTTGCATAGCCGCTGCTGTGGGAAATGGTTTATTCTTGGGATGCTATGAGGGGTTGAAGCTATATTATGCCAAGGAACCATCAAGTCCAGAGCTTCTTCAGTTGTAGTACAAATAGGCTCCAGGGTATGGCGGATGTATTTTATCTGTATTTTTATTACTGGTTTCAAATAGACATGAACTCAATCTTCTCTGTGCTCCAGGTCTCTCTTTGTATTAATGTCTGTACCTATATAACTTGCCTTTACCAAGTCTCGATCGTTGCTGATTTCATTTTCATGGCTCTCACTGAGTATGTGGTCCTGATGGCGTTACGAAGAATGAATCATGTTAGATCACTTAGCGCACACTGCCTTTTGAGCCGATCCTTTCTTGGTTATCTACATTTGAGGCCTGAGAAAATGTATTTGTTTGCTCATAAGTATTGACTGCTTTTTGTCGACCATCGACTCAATTGAATTTCTTTCTCTTCATTTCCTAGTTTCAAGTCGGTCAGTGAAAATGTACAACTTTGCCTTCTTTTGGAAATAGTTCACGTAAAAAAGGTGGAGACGTTAGACGTTCATGATCCAATAAGCGGAAGGCCACAATCTACCATGTGCAAGACTTGGTTCGGTTAAGAGATCAGGCTCGTTCTTGAAGTTGCCTTACCGAGAATTGGGCTAAAGATTACAATAAAACAGGATCTCTAGTTCGACCTGAGATTGCATTTATTGCCTGGGTGCGAGGGAGCTCAATTTTCCAAGATCAAACGGGAGATTCACCATGTGCTATCCTTGAAGCAAGTATCCACACCCTGCGCTATGTCGGTTCGAGCAATTACAGACGACAGGCCGGGTAATGCGCCAAGTGCTGGTTTAATAAAGACGGTCCCCGCAAGAATATTTCACTACCATCCTCAACTGTTGCTCTGCAATTCCTCACTTCGACATTCCGAAATTTCCGACCTTTCCGACCAAATTAAAGAAGGCGGAAACTTGCAAGATTCCGGTTTCAAGCTTCGATTCTTTGGGAAGATCACAATTCCTCCTCGCAAAATGACTGAGATCAGGTACTTGGCTTCAACCAAACAAGCCAAAAGATCCATCCAACTAACAATTGGCAGAATAGAACCAGAAATTTCTCCCGCCGCAATTCCGGATGAAAAACCAGAAGAAAGTCATGTTTTCCTGTCAAAACCACCGATTGACAAAAAAGATGTCATCGCCAGCAAAGTACCCAAACCGATCAAGAAGCTCGACGGGTTCATCTCACACATGAACCGTCTTATGCATACCCGCGAAAGTCACGATTTCGTCATCCTTTTTCTAGCTTTTGCGACACATTTTGTTGCGACAGCGCTGGAAACGCCGATTCCCGAAAGATTAAAACAATGGGCGACTAGAATCAGCAGTTTATGTTTGCGAAGCTTACCGGCGAGGTTGAAATCTGTCGCCTCGTTTTCCAAATTATCCTCACAGTTTGCGCGAATCGCAGCTTGCAGGCCGGTTCTTGCGGAACGAGCGAGGGCGTTTGCGGATATCATGGACGATTGGCAAATTATTACGAGACTTTGGGGGATACTTGGGATATGGACCGATGGTAAAGAACTCCTTACTGGTCTGATACGAACACGAGATGGAAGTGATGAATTCGATGAACACCCGCGAGACTATCTTATCCGCAAAACTATTAAAGGGACATACGTGCTAGGCTTATTCAGCTATCTCGTCTCCGAGAACCTAGCCTGGCTCACGAGACGTGGCGTTCTAAGAAAGTCGGAAAAGTCCGAGTCCAAGCTGATGTTATGGTCTTTAAAGGGCTGGGGTGTTTACGTCTTTTCGGAACTTGCCCAGCTATCGCATGATTGGTCTTTAACCAGTAGGGGTTTGAAAGAAGAGAATGAGAGTTCAAGAGGGGAATGGAGAAGGAAACTTGTGCAAATGTTGCTTTATGCTCCATTGACTCTCCACTGGATACAGGGCGGGCTGTTTCCGGAAACACTGGCTTCTTTCTTAGCAGCCTACACAGAGTACATAACAGTCAAAGAGCTATGGAGAGCATCTGCATAGCCTGAGGACTGCATAATATGCAATATGTCAATCACTTCAGCTGCCTATGAGAGTGCGCACTTTCAGCCACTATCTTGGCATATACATAAGTTCCACCTATAGAGCACTTTGCATGAAGTTCAGCCTATCTGGTAGGAGGAAAGGTCGCTGTAATTGTGTCTAGAAGGGTTTACCGGGCTCTGATGATATTGCTACTTGGAAAATGAGCCTTTCTTGGAGGTGTTGGTCAAAACGTGTCACTACGAATCACCAGACCTTTCGCTTACCTACAGGTATCTGTTTTCTACACCAATCACCTCTGCTCTTACATTCGGCGTTCAATAGTCTTAAGCAGTGAGAGCACGAACCGCGACGCCTCCCAACCCACCCGCGGTACAGGTCAAGACGTAGCCTACTTACATCTGTAGGCAGCTATTGGACGCCTTGTGATGCCCACCAATATACAAAAGTCTGCCTAAATTACACTTCCCCGCTCTCCAAGAAACAAGTTCAAATTTTAAGATCCATGCAGAAATTCTGAAAGTTTCTGAGCAACTATAATCAGCAACGTCCCAGAATTCGGCCAACATGGCGTCTCATCGGAACTCTTCCCGGTCAGTCGTTGGCTTTCAACAACAAGGCACCGTCGACTGGACTTTGGTCACCGGTGGAAGCGTCACTTTGTCCGCTGATGTCTTATCGAGGCTATCAAAAGCTGGTGTGGAGGCGTTCACCCTTGTCGCCGCTCAAGCCATCTTCTCTAACGCGAAACTGGGCCGTCAAGGTGAGGTTCGTATGAACAAAGCCATTGATAGCTTGAGTGCTTTCCCTTCGGTTGACAATGTGCTCTGGTTTGGCTTTGGGATAAAGCACATTGTTCGAACCTTGCAAGACTCTGCAGAAGGGCTGGCATGTGTTGCTGTATGTGCATCCTTGACCGAACATTACAGTACACCCGTCGCGGGACAAATATTGCGAGAGCTGTTCCTCCTGTATCATCCACCTGCTGAGTATACACCAGCGCTCCGGCAATGGACCTCTTTGGTTGCGACTTCTGAAGGGTTGCTAGCCTCGACAGAGTTCGGATTAGTCCTTCATGGAATCGCAAGGCTTTTCCTGAGGGATGACTGGTCAAGTCGAATGAGTGCAGGGACACCCAAAGCCATTGCGACTGTACTGGAACAGGGTTTTCAGATTTCCCGGGGAGGCCTTGACCAATTGCACCTCTCGGGGGGAGCTGATTGCGCCTGGATCGCTGCTGTTGCACACTGGATTTTCGATCTCAGAGTTGAGCTGAAAAATGAAAATGGTGATATTATATATCGACCAGACGGCACGAGAAACGATTCTTCTGCAGATTCTCAGGTTATAATCACATACTCTGAAAAGAATGAACCGGGATCGATTCAAGTCACGCGTAAACACTATACCATTCCTGGCGGAAGATTGCTATTTTCTGATGAACTAGAACATGGGTGTACAACATGTGGTCGGGTCTCGTGGGAAACATGCCTTATCGATACTTTCGGCAATCCCATGAGACATTTGCTCGGAAAACAGGCCCGGACTTTCGGCAGTTGCCTTGGATCAGCCGCTCGAATCTTCCTTGGCAATATGAGAGATGAGGGCTATGGAGCGGACTCGACATACCAGTCGGAAGATCGAGAAATGCTACCCCCAGTATCCAATTCGAGCTATGGGAGAGGATTCTGTTTACAAGCCCTCAAACTGTTGCCCGAGCTTGACCATGACCCGGCTCTTCGTCAAACAATGGAAGCTGCGGTGGACCAAAGCTATGAGAATGCTATCGAGAAGTACCTCCATTCAATAACTCAGCTGAGTCAACTCTGCCAGTGCAAAAGATGTTGTGGCGACTCCACGGGACCAAAAGAAAACTCGTATTGTCTAATGATATTGGTTCCGACTGTTTGTACATTTGTGCGAACCATGTCAGCCATTCAAATGCCTGCAGAGGTGGAGGTACGGCCAAGCCGACGGGGCATGGAGATGCTTTACGAAAAGCAGGAACGAGCTGTCCCTTCAGAGTCCTATGAAACAGAGGTCTTGACGGAAGATCATATCTTAGCAATCTCATGGCCTGAAATCGGCATTTTACAGCTGTCGCATATCATATTCACAGGTCGGGAAAACAGCTCTGTGAGCTGGTATAAGGCACCTGCTCAGAACCCACATACAGCGGCAATCTCGCACTATGGTCTTTGCTTCTCTCTTGACACATTGATCAAAACCAAATCGGACCCTGAGGAAGTCTGTCGAGTAACAGTTATACCCGGCAGGATCGAGTGGAACGGCATGACGTTTGACAGTATACGCGATCCGGATCGAGGTGGTGGGGCGGAAGGAATAGCACAGAACCCTGACTATTCAAGTGCTTCATGGACCGATATTACAGCATATGACAATTTGGAGGATAGCTCATCCCCTAATCTCCGAGCAGAGCTTATTGTTGTGGAGGCAGCCACAGAGACCAGAAGTCTTCGGGTTGCCTGTCGCATCTCGACCCCAAAGCATCCTGGTCACCATTTCACAATAGGTGCTGCAAAGATTTAGTCGCAACTAAATAGAGCCTACACAGCTTCAAGTTGTCATAGAAAAGTCTGCAGGTCGCTCAATGGCTTCCGCTCGTCTCTTGTACAGGGAGAAGGACTTTTGATCGACCAACATACTTTGGCTGAACCTGGACCTATAGTTCGTGTGCTTTCTTCACAGGATCTCGCTATCTGGGTCGCCGCATCAGTTGAAGTAATCGATGGGGTTCAACTACATTACAGACTCCAGATGGAACAATGTGTCAGATGTTGCGTGATTGGCTCGGAGAACTATCGAACACATGATCAAAAAGAGGACACGTTACACGCGGAACGCACAGTGTGTTTGATTACATCTCCGTAGACTAGAATTGAGCTTTATGTCCGAGGCCTCATGGTAAAAACAGCTTTGTTGAAGATAAGAAATCGTGCCGTATTGCAAAACCTCTCCACTACATTGTCTCCCCTCCATTGTTATTCCATCTTCGGCCTGCTGATATCAGCCACTGGCCTGAGCTCAAGATGGCAGAAAGGTAATTCAATTGTTAGATCATTCATTGGCTTTGCACAGGCGAAAGAACCAATGAAGGTCCTCCTCGATAAAGAAGCTATCTCCAATCTCTTCGGGAGTTCGGCACACTAACCCCACTACCCCGGCAACAAACCGGCCGTGGAGACATCTGTCGCCTCTATCTTCTCATGCACTATGCCGCTATTGGAAAGACCAGGCGACGTCTATCAAGCCATCCAGTCGGACGTCTCAGCTCAGAGGGATGTGTCGCGGGGAAATAACTCCTCGTCATTAAATGGGTTCGCCTAATTGCGAGAGCCGCCCCAGACTCCCCAGGAACCCCAGATAAAGAAGAATTGGGGTCGAACTATGACTGAAAGATTGGAGTCAATGTTTATCACTGGACTTGGCCGTGGAGTTATACTCGTAGCAAGCGATATCGCTTTACCTGCCACGCCTTTCAGGGTTCGTTGCTAGCACTGATCGCCGTTTATAAGCTCCCTTCTCCCCGCTTGCGTGAACAGCGCATTTTGACTATTATTTCCTTCCTGGGAGTTTTCTTATCTTAGGCCTTGAAGATGAGCGAGAAACACGACATCCCCGACAATGCGTCACTGACACCATCACAAGCTGCCGGCAAGTCATTCGCCACCCACGTCCAGCCCAACGAACACCTCGAAAAGAGATACAGTCCCTTATCTGTTCTCGCATTCGCCTTCACCACCACCAACTCATGGATGGCCTTTGCCTCTGGCATCGCAGTGCCCTTGGCCTGCGGCGGAGGACCCTCAATTATATATGGCTTGATCATCGGCGGAATCGTCATGGCTACAATTAATATTGGCTTCGCAGAGCTGGCTTCGGCATTCCCTTCGGCTGGTGGACAGTATCACATCGTCTTCATGGCATTCCCAGCCTCGACGCGTCGTGCTGCTGCTTTTTATACTGGTTGGATTTCCATCATCTATCTCATGGCAGCGACTGCGTCTTGCAATTTCTTCGCTGCGAGTTCAGTGCTTGATCTTGCCCAGCTCTGGAATCCTTCGTACACAATTCAAGCCTGGCATACATACTTGATGCATATTTTACTGTGCATCGTTGCATTCATCGCCACCTCACGTTTCCCCGCTGCCATCGGTCGTTTGACTACCACCATCTTCTGGCTGTCGCTAGTCGGCTTCATTGCCTCAATGGTGACCCTCCTCGCGGTCAGCGATCGTAAGCAATCTGCCGAAACTGTCTTCAAAGAGTACAAGAACGTCAGCGGATGGGGCGATGGCTGGGCCATGGTCATCTCCATCACTTCTTGCTTGTGGGCATATTCTGGAGTGGATGGGCCTACGCATCTGGCTGAAGAGGTCCCAAATCCCAGTAAAAATGTCCCGCGAGCTATCTTTTTGACGATTGGGCTTGGTATCACGACTGTCGTCGCATGGACTATTGCTCTGATGTTCTCTATCAAAGATGTCGATGCGATCATTGAGTCCACCGTGCCTATTCTCGAGGTTTACAACCAGGCTCTGAACAATCGCGTTGCGACCACCATATGGACCGTTTACTACATTATCATGTTCTACGACATTGTCCTGAACCTATTCATCTTCTCTGGGCGAACTATTTGGTCCTTCTCTCGCGACGGTGGCGTCCCTTTCTCCGGATTCTTGTCCCATCTCAAGTGTGCAAGCCCTGTCCGAGCTACCGCTGTGATGCTTGGTCTGCAGGTCATCATTGGCGTTCTATACGTGGCTTCGAGTACAGCCTACAACAGCTTCATCGGTCTCACGCTATTTGCTCTCAACATCACAGTTGCTCTACCTCAAGCAGCTCTGCTCGTCCGCGGTCGCAGCTGTCTTCCTGAACGAGCCTTCTCTTTGGGCAAGGCCGGTTATGCAGTCAACGCTGTCGCTACGCTGTTTGTGGCTTTTTTCTCTGTTAGCTTCTGCTTCCCTTCTTTCATGCCGGTAAGTGCATCGTCCATGAACTATTTGATCGTGGTCATGGCGGTCGGTCTTGTCTTCACGACTGGTCTCTGGTTCGGTGGTTTGCGTAAGACCTTTACAGGGCCACAGATTAATATTGATGCGGAATATTAGTAGGGTGGTATCCAGAATGAATCTTGAAATATAGTGTGGTTATATCGTCAAGTAGTCAGATTTCTCATTTTTTTAAATTTTACACGTTAAAAATTCTTTCCTCGTTATAAGACACAGGCGGCCCCATAGCCTAAAGATGGAAATATCAGTCTGCCACCATCTCGCCGCTATCCAAGGCCAATCATCCTTCCATCATTCCGTACCATTATTCATCATATATCTCACAACCTCATGACGTATTTTCCCTCCAGCTGTCACTTATTAGCTTGCGCAGACTACACGACTGTGGTGAACTTACCTGGCCTTGAGACATTTTCTCCATCAGACTCTCGATATCCTCAAGTTCCGCCCACTTGATCTGGGGGATCACCAATCTCCTCTTTACAAACTGCAAAGCCTCAAGAATATCAGCCCTCGTGCCGACGGATGAGCCTTTAATGGTCCATCCATTATCGATAAACCAAGTCGGGTGGAATGCAATCTTGGCCTCCTCCGGTAGAAGTGATACACTCATAAAAGTGCCAAACGGACCAAGCATGTCGAAAGCCTTCTGATAAGCAGCTGCTGCTGTTGCGGTGACTACAACGGCCTTGGCGCCTTGACCATCCGTCAGAGCCTTGACTTGTTGTCCAGCATCTTCTCTAGATGTGACATCGACATAATGCTCTGCGCCTTGGGACTTGCAATAACTTTCTTTGGAGGCGCCTGCATCCACGGCGATTACTCGGTACCCCATTGCATGAGCGAAAGCGACAGCCAAAGCACCTACACCACCACCGGCGCCCGACACGACGAGCCACTGCCCAGGTGTGATGTTGCAACCTTTGATGGCTTTATAAGCCGTAACTCCTCCGCAAAGGATAGGTGCAATCTCTTCATCTGGGACGTCATGGAAAGTATCCGGTATGCGAGCCAGATATCTCAAAGGCACAAGCGTATACTCGGCAAAAGTACCATCGTAGGCCTTGCCGGAGTGCAAAGCCTCAACGCATCTCGTCTCACCCTCATTGACAAGGTCGACACACATATTGCACGTACCGCAAATATCTCGAGTCCAAGCTACTCCTACACGCTGCCCAATTTGAACAGACGAGTCAAGATTCGCAACGTTGGAGCCAAGCTCTGCGATCCTGCCCACGCCTTCATGGCCGAGGATACTTCCTACGGGACCCATGTGGCCTTGTGCCATGCCCAAGTCCGAGCCACATAAACTGGTGACTGAGAGACGGACGAGAATCTCGTTGGGCCCTGGCACTGGGCGTGAGACATTCTTGATCTCAAAGGTTGGTTTGACAGTCGCCTCCTGGGCGGACTAAAGATGTCAGTATGAGGATTCAAAGGGGGCTTTGGGATACATACCGTCAAAAAGGCGACTCTATGAGTTTCGGATGTCATGTTCGTGGTCTTGATCTAAGCCTTAGAATAAGATTAAATAAGACAGCTAAAATATTTCGTTTCTTATGCTCTCAGTGCGCAATACTTCTTAAGGAAGTGGAAGCAGAATAATCCTGGGCGCTTATATGGGTTAATCTTATTTCCCATCCTTGACCTCAAGCAATTATTATCATCATGTCCGGTCCGGGTCGTCTGAACATTCCCAACACGGCAAAGTGTGCGGAGATGGAGCGGCAGCATATCGTCATGACAGTTGTGGGGTTGCCAGCACTCAATTCCCTGTCAACTGGGTTGTTCCCCGACACTGGCCCCCATTCTACCCCATGCCTTACTACTCTTAGCACATTGGAAGATTGCATCCTCCTTGACGGTTTTGTGTCGACATGTCGGAAGTCGCAAGGAGCATCCACCGAAATGACCGGCATCGGAGCTTAGCACTTCCGATATCTCGACAGCCCGAGAGCCAAGAGAAACGTCATTTTCAGAACTCCATTCGAGTAACAAAACATGGCTTGGAACTCTAATTTCCCAACACAGCCCTAGCTAACGGTTAAGCTTTTACCGCACGTTCAAACGTTACACGTCAAACGCCCAAAGGCGTTTCCGGAAACAGGTTCTCATTCGAAGTGGCTTGACTTTCAACCAGTGACGTCGAGAGCCACAGATTACTGGCTTTTGAAACTCAACTGTCGGATTGGCCGCCAAGGCTCAGCCATGGCGTCTAAGAAACATGAGTGCAGCTCAGCTTGGCTTATTTTCGACTGTGTTTGACTTGTCTAGGCTTACAGTTGAGGCAGTACTACGGCGTTACGATTCCAGTTGTGTGGAGGTGGCTCTTGACTTAGAGACAAACCCAAGGTGTGAACGGCATTTTCCGTCGAGACAATGCAAACAGAAGACTCTATATAATATCCTTTGACATTCCATGTAGATATTGTATCATCAATATAACTCAATTCACTCTCAACAATCACATCGCAACATCATCAACATGGAATCAATGTCTTACTATCTCTACAACCCTTCCAAGCCTTTGGCGGGAGTTTGCGCAGGCCTCTTTGGCCTAAGTTTTCTTGTCACACTCTACCAGATCATCCGAAAGAAAGCCTGGGTGTGGATCTTCATGCTATTGGCTATTGCTAGTATGTTCAATTTTAACCGGTCATCCTGTCTCCATACTTACAAGTACTGCAGTGGAGGTTATTGGCTACGCAGCCAGGATCAAGTCAGCCTCTGAGCCAACCGAGAAGAAGCCATACGTCCTTCAATTCACCCTCATCATCTTGCCTCCAGTCTTGATGGCCGGTGTCATCTACGTCGTCTTCGGAAGAATTGTGTACTGGGTTGTCCCGCCAGAGTCAAGAACTTTGCGATTCCTCTGGGTTCCTCGTGAGTTCATCCTTAGTAACCAGGACCAACCCAATGCTAACCACTCAAAGCTCGCTTCATCACTCTCCTCTTCGTCGGCTTTGATGTAATTTCTCTCATTCTACAACTCGTCGCCGCCATTTTCATTGCCGGCACCGATCCCACAGAGCCCAATGCGAAGCAGAAGCTTGATCTTGGCAAGACTCTCGGTCTCGTTGGTGTTAGCACCCAGATTGCTGGCTTTGGACTCTTCACTGTTTCGGCCATCCGCTTCCAATTCGCCGCCAGAAAGCTCAGTCCCGATTTCGCCAGACAGAACCAGGAACGGTATGGCATCACGAAGAAGTGGCAGACCTTGTTGGCTGTAGTCAACGTTTCATGCCTCCTCATCCTGATCCGTTCCGTCTACCGTGAGATCGATTTTGCCGGTGGTAAAGATGGAAAGACTCATCAAGAGGAGTGGTAGTAAGTTACCCGTTATCAATGTTCATTCTTGCCGCTAACAGAGTGCCTCTAGTCAGTATGTTTTCGATACACTACCAATCTTGATTGTAGTCTTTCTCTACAATGTTTTCTTTCCCTCCAACTACCTTGCACATCTTGGCTTCAAGGTTCCCAAGGAGGATCAAACTACTGGCTTTGATCTCGAAGCGACTCATAAGCAACCTTCAACGACAGAGTCCACATAGAGAAGCCTCGGGGCTTATGGCGGGGATTGGTGTTTGGGCGTGATTAGCAACTCTGATTTAAGTTTGCTTTGTTTCGATATCTGCGCAGCTTATAGAATTTGTTTTTAATCCTGGTAATGTTAGATTTACAGAATGCCTGGCCGTCTGTATCAATCCAATTCTTTCAACTTATTTTTCTTACCACTGATCAAGAGAAACGCCATACCTTGCAGCGATCAATCCTGACTAACAACTTTATCAGCAGACATGGAGACGATTAGAGTTTATAGCCTAAAGCCAGACTCATTTCGCATAAAATGAGCTGAGCATTTGATCCCTCGCAATACTAGCGGCAGGGTTTCTGATAGGCTACAATCTAAGCATCCTGGCCTGAAACCTGTGCCGTGCCCCTGCAGGTAATTAGCTGACATGACCAACACCAATAATAAACTGATCAGATCATCACAGGCAACTTTAAAAACGACCCATCGCCAGTAACGCCTTCCTCGTCTTACGTCATTTCTACCTACACTTGTCCAATATGCCTACTACAAGTATCACGTCGCTTCTTTGGCCCGCGGGGGACAATGTCAGAGTCCAGGGGGAGGTTTTCGAAGCCGAAGCTACTGGGACACGATATATGCTCCGAGGTTGCAAACCCAATGACAACTCTTGCGACCACCACACAGCCTTTGTCGAGTTCGGGCCCTGGGCCAGCAAGACCTTGCCATCAGGTGCTGCCGAGACGGGTGTTTATGACGTCCACGGGACCGTCGACGGTACTATGTACTCCAGTGTCTGTGAGATGAGTCGGTCTGTGATCGAGCAATGCAAAGTCTCGAAGGCATCTGGGTTCGGTTCTTCTACGGAGTACAATATGACCAGGACGAAGGGAGAGACGGGGGCCGACTTCACTCTTTTATACCACGAGGTGACGCTTACCGGCGGCCTGAGCAAGCTTGCTTCTGCGACGGGAGACGCTGCACCTACTGAGACTTCTTCCAATAATGAGGCTTCCTCAACAAACGAGGCTTCTTCGACGACCGATGCTAGCTCTGATGGCGCAACAAGCATATCCACTTCTGCAACCGAGATCGAGGCTTCCAACACTGAGGGTACAGCCGAAACCACACCTGCTGAGACGGTTCCTACCGAGACGACTTCGGCCGGGTCTCCACCCTTGGTTCGCGCGTTTGCTGCTCTGGCTATCGCCGGAATAGCTACTGCGATGGTGATGTGATGTGTGAAGATTCAGGAAGATGGTCAATGAATGCTCTGATTGGCTCTTTGTGACTATTTAATCTGTTTTTGCAATGGGTGGGGGACATTTTCGAATACAGAAGATGGGGAATCTTAATACAATACCTCAATGGTTTTTCCAGTGGTCTTGGAATACGATACGTATAAGACAAGTCAGATCTGCCTCTGATCAGGACGAGCAGAGACTAGCAAACATGTGAGCATAAAGCTTCTAGAACACAAGAATCGGTAAGCCTCGGGTCAAGAGTTCAACTTGCATAGCATGGTCGATCAGATTTCTTAGGATCCTTGGAGACAGTTGGGAGATCATGATGGGGGTTCTACCGCGACTTTAGTCAAGACTGCAAGGTCTGGAAACATTCCAACCACGTTCTCCTGGTCTTCACGGCAGACTTGTGTTAACAAGAAGGTTTAAGGCTGACTTGCATTTCGGAAACCATCGGCTATGCATTGCTTTTGTAACAGGTACATGATACATCTCATCTCGCTATCAATCTGAGAAGTGGGAACCAGAAACAAAGTCGCAAGCTAAAATGGACCGCCTTAAGCCGAAGATGCAATGCGCTAGAACGTCCAAAAGGTTGAAAGCATCAATCGTAATAAACATCATTGAGCCTGATGCATATTCATACGTTGTTTCAAAGACAGAACGAGCGAGATTGGCTGCGGCGTTCCGTGTCTCTTCATACGGTCGCGCACGCCTGAATGTTTGTTGTGGTTGCATTGCAAAAGAGGGCTGAAAGCTGAAGACAGAAGCTCAAGGTCCGTGCTCAGCCCCTGAAGATGAATCCGGGGTTAGCTCTAGCGCGTCAACAATTCCCATCCCATCCCGCCTCATTGCCGTGGGGAAACGCTGAGAGGCTGGGAACATACTCTCCCTAGGAAACAGGGAAAGTCGGTCTAGAAGCTCACTCACCGAACAAGACCTCAACAAATCTTCCGAACATAACCGAAAGGCGTACTCGTAATGGTCACCTAGGTGAGTCAATCCCATCTCTCCTGGTTAACCCGATGCAAGACGGTATCGAGATTAGCGTAGCCGCAGTCTCTACCAACCACACCGACAGACCCACAAGGTGAGCTTACGCAGTTTTCGTGATTGACCTTCAAGGAAAGCCTTTTGTTGAGAATGTACGTGTCGGGCTGAAACTAGACCGGTAGTTGAGAACTTACATGGTCTCTGATAGGCTGGGACTGTATGACTGTTATGCGGCGGTTCGGTATTTCGGCGTCAGATGCCGTGTTATATAAGAGTCATAGCAACAAACTTGTGAATTTCTACACTCCTTCCTCGATCATCTATCTATCAAATTGAGTCTATAGACTCTTACTATCATCAGAATGACGGATGTTATGAGTATTAGGGAGCAGCAGCACTGTACCCTGCAGTACTTTGCTGTTGACCTGGCTGCTGCGGCTTTCGCTTCTGCTTTGGTCACTCCCTGGGTTACAGCCATTGACAAGTAAGTCTCCTCCAATCATATCTCACCATTCATCTTCTCCATTTCCATCTCTAGTAGATCACTAACATGATCCTCCCTAGGCTCGTCTTCAACAAGGCAACCAGCAACACCTCAGTCATGGGCTCCATGCGCAAATGGGCTTCCAAGCCCAAGGCAACCTTTGCTTCGCTCTTCATACCCTTCCTCGTCTACTTCGGAACCTACGCTACTGCCAACATGTTCGACTCCTTTAACGCTGTTCAATACGATCCCGACCCTTCCATCGTCTGCTCGTCTCCCGCCAAATTCGCCGCAACCACGACCGTCAGTTCTGGATTAAGCATATTCAAAGACGCCTACTTTTCTCGGATGGCTTGTGGCGCTGGGACGCCTCTGCTTAGTTATGCCCTATTCACTCTTCGAGATGCAGTGACTATATACGCCTCGTTCAACCTGCCTACTATGATCGCTCCCAAGCTTGCCGAATTCCCTTTCGCGTCTATCACTCCATTTGCCGACATTTTCAAGTCTGATGATTCGAGACTCAAGATGGCTCAGCTGTTTATGCCTGCTGCGTCTCAGGTAGTAAGCACGCCGATTCATCTGCTTGGTCTAGATGTGCATGCTCGACAAGTTCGTATGACTATCCGCGAACGTGTGGGTGTAATCAAGCACTATGCTGGATTTGCTACACCTCTACGTATGATACGTGCTTTGCCTTCTTATGGTATTGGCAGTGTGGCCAATACTGGTTTTAGGCGAAGCATGATGACCCAAGTGGTTTGACATGTCTCGGTGATTTGAGTTGTTGCGGTTTCAACACGAGAACTCCTGACAGCCTCAACGCCTGGAGATGGGTCATATTGCGTGCATTTATATAAAAGTTGGTAAACCTAGATTGTCAAGCTTGAATACTTTAATGTTCACTTCATTTTACAACAACTTCACAATTATCCCGTGCGTGAGACTGGACTTTGGTATGTGGTAAACTTGCAGTAATCTTCATTCCTTACTAGCCGTCCATCATGATTCGCTAAAAATTGTACTCATGTTAAATGTTATGTACATGCCATCCAAATGCTTATAATTTTGCCATTTTTATTCTGTTTTTCTTTTATTCCTTCTCTTTTCTTTTCTATGCTTAGAACTTGTTCTGGTTGGCGTTCTGCATCAGCATAGTGCTATCAGGCTTGTATCGCTTGGACGCAAGGTTGATGTTGTACTCGACATCGAGAACAGCGCCCTTAGGATCATCCTTGGCAGGCTTGAAATCAAGCACCAAGTCGTCCTTGACAGCGCAGGCGGTATCGGTCTCGAGGTAGGGATCGTCGCTAGGGTACAGCTGAGCAGTAACACCAAGGTAGTCATCGTGGGTAACCATGATGTGGATGTGAGCAGGGCGGTAAGGATGACGGCCCATGATGCGGAGAAGCTCGGAAGATGGACCAGATGTGTCGATGGCGTACTCGGTGGGTTTAAGGCAGTAGAACCAGAACTTGCCGTCCTGGTCGGTGCGGAACTTGCCGCGGAGGTTGTGGCGCGACTGGTTCTCGGGGTCGTGGGCGTCGTACTTGCCGTTGGTGCTGGCTTGCCACATGTCGAAGACGGCGTTGGGGATACCCTTGCCTGTATCGACGTCGCGGATAACACCGTGGAAGAATGTGAGTTGTCCATCCTTGGGCATATCTTGGACGACGCTGGCGCCGTTGTCGCGGAAGGGGGTTTCGGGAGACCAGAAGGGTCCGAGGATGCTGGAGGATGTGGGAGCCTTTCCTCCGTCGGTAACGACCTTGTGGTTGATCTCGTCGACGAGCCTTGAAAGGTCAGTGGATGTTATTCTTATTGCGCAATTGGATTGACTTACGACTCAATACCGAGAATGTCGCAAACACGCCATGTCTCGTTGCGGTTCTTCTGGTAGGCCTGGCCAAGAGAGTTGATGTAGTTGACACCAATGATCCACTCCTCCTGCTTGAGCTCGACCTCTCTGCAGAAGTCGTGCATGTGGCGGATGAGGGAAGTGAGAATCTCGCGCTGTCGAGGCTCGGTCTCGGGGCTCATGAGGCCAATGACATGGTCGGTAAAGTTGGGGTCGAACTTTGATTGCGCCGAGGCGCCGTTGGTGCCGTTTGTACCGTTGGACATTGTGAAGTGTGTGTTGAGGATAGAGAGGGAAAGACGTTGGAGTCTAGGGTATCTTGAGAGAGTGATAGATAAGGAAGAAACGAAATGTCCCAACAGAGAGTGCAGGTCGCGAGATTAAGTATGACAGCTGCTAGGCTGAAGATGAGCGTTTCTTTGCCGTTATTCTAGCCGGGAATGTTGGAGGGGGCGGGGCCGTGGATCATGGGCGCAAACGGTAGCGGCAATTCGACACGGCTCTCCACGTCAGAATGACCATTGCAAATCCTTTATCGTGATTGGTCCTTGTCAATCTTGGGGTAAAGACATTCCGAACCGGGGGGAAATATTCTTACCCGAACCTGCCGTACCAAGATGCCGATTCCTCACTTGCGGATCTTTATTTCTCCAACGCTTGGTACTGTCTGGATGAATGGATTGCCGATTTTTGCTACCGGAAATGGTCGTCGTACGATTTGCGACTGTTTGCTGACTGTTCTATTGAGCACTTTAGACTGTGCACTCAAGCATCGCATAGCCGACCGCCGAAGTTTGGGGTTGACCAAATAAATCATCCCGCCCTCTGCCAAGTAATTACAATTACTGTAAACTGTCAAAGAAAATCTCGACTGACAAATAGCCCCTCAATCTCAGGATCAAGTGAACCCGCTTCAATTATCTGCATGCAGGTCTGTAGAGGCATCATTTAGTGGTTAGTGTAGGGTATTCTCGGTTCCCAATCTGGGGTAGTGACAGCAAACCCGGGAATTCGGAGACATGCGAAAGCATGAGCCTCACCGTACCTCAATTGGGATAGTACAGTACATATCGCCAGATCTATTTAGCGAAGCCTGTCCCCAGATGCCATTTTGGCATTTCCGTAACATGGACAAGGGACCTCTTGAAAGTATGGATGCATCCGAAAGCGGCTGGTGCGGGGTTGGAAACTGCCCCACCAACCGACCCCCCCATATTTAGCAAAGGACTCCATCGCTAAGAGCATAACAGACGAAATAGTTTAGTCATTTTATGCAGGGTTAGGCAGACACTGAGGCGACTTTATTTTGGCTACTTAGGTAACTTTTTCAACATCCTCACAAATCTTTCCATATCCTCCAAACACTTACAACCATCGTGGTGTTGATTTGAACTGTACGACTTGAACACTAACATTTGAAAAACCCAAGCTACCACCATGAGATCTATCAACGATCTATAGCCAACTTTCAGCCCTTAGGCAACACCTTCCTTTCTCTTCCTTCCATCATCCTCCTCACCACTACCACCGATGAGTACCCTCAATAATAGCGCCAGGCCCATCCAACCATACTTCCAATCCCGTGATTATTCATGCGTATTGGGTAACCCTGAGAGCGATGAGGACGATTGTCCTGTCCATGTCGAGTCAAGACGTAGTCGCTGATGTATCGTCATTTCGAGGCTCCTCTTGATCGGTAGTTGGCTGAGGTTTCTTGCCACGGCGTTTGTTCTTCTTCTTCTTCTTCTTCTTCTTCTTTCCTCGAGAGGGTGCTAGAACTGTTGCTCCATGTCCAAGAGTATTCAAAACAGTCTAAAACTATTAGCTAGTGTCTTCAGAAATGAAAATGATAAGTAAATACTAACTCCAAGAGTTTCAACACTCATTGCGGGACGAATAACAGCGTCAGAGAGCATGTCTATAAAACGTATTAGCTTGTGTAATAGATAATGAGGTATTCTCAGAACTGCTTACTCGTGGCTGGGTTCTTTGAGCAGTGCTCAGGTAGATGGATTCCCTATTTGTGACAGTGAGGACATTTATGTCTGGCTGCAGGTTTCTTTTCCGGGGGTGCCTCATCTTCTCCAGAGTTGATCACCTCTTGAGCTTTGCGTGGTGGACGCGCTTGAACAGGGGGTGCCTCATCTCTTGGGTGATCCCCTGTCTTCTCGGGAATCATTCAGGTCTGAGGCCGTACGTTTCGATGGGCGCGTATCAATAAGATCGAAAGTGACGGGAAGTCCGTGTTCATTATTCCCACTCATCATGTGAAGAACCTCGGGATTGGTAAAGGCAGGTTGCGGGTGTGAGGTAATGCCTCGGGTCGGGTTTGGCAGGCGCTCCACTGGCAGGGTGTCAGTGGAATCATTCGTCGAGAGCATATCTTAGGAGACGAAATTTTGATTACTTTATGCAATCTTAGACTAGCCCTTAGGTTATTTTATTTCTGTTACCCTAAGCCTTTAGAAGCACCCCTTTTTTTACTCTACGCCACAAGAAGAATTGCGTTGCACATTTACAAGTCCACTGCATAAGTGGCCGAAGCTGGCCATCAGATGATACTGGTGACAAGGCTTGAACTCACTGAATCAACAAACAACCTGCAATAACTGAAAGTAGAACGAATAGATGTGTCCGTCCAGACGGAAACGTGTTGTCTTATATTATGGCTCATACATGGCAAATGATAATGTGCATAGCAAGCTCAAAAAACAATAGCTCCTTTCCCTGGCTGCCCCTTCTACTCAGTAAGCGACCTGGCTGGTTCTCAAAGCACGCCTAGGCTCAAGCGGAACGCGACACAGCTCACTGGCTGAGATGTTGTGAAGAACGCGGGGTACCTCCCTGAAGGCACGCATGAATGTACCACTTTCTTGTACTCCAGCCGCATCTGTTGAGCCCAAACTAAGCAGCCCCTTTGCCCTCCTATCTTCGTTTGATAAGAGCTTGCCACTTGTCGCAAAGGGGAATGTGCGGAATTCTTCTTGACAGTTAGTATCTAAACCCTTGCTTGCCTCTGTTGTGAATTTGCTTACCGTCAATCTTTGTCACTAGCTGGATTATACAGTCTGACTTTATTCTCAATGCCTTGCCATTCTCATTGAGAATGTGGGGGATTCCTGCCTGTTTTTCGCTCTGTTAGTTTCATCAAGTTGCATTGGGTATATTAAACGCACCTGACCAGCATCGTCGGCAGTATCCCTGTAGAACTCGATAGATCCACCGAACAAGTAGTTCTCAAGCCATCGTCCTGATTCTCCGGATACAGGGTGCCCGCGTCGTCGCAATCCAACGTAGTTCAGGTGTGTGGTTTGAAGTGGCGTATATGATTCAAAGCCTTGCTGCCCTTGGGCAAGATAACCAACAAAGCAGTGAGTCAGCTCGTGAGTGGTGGCCACCGCTAGCATGAATAAGAATGACTTATATCTCGCGGCCATTTTCTTCCCATTGCTGCTGCTGTTGTTGGCCTGGGCAGCTGCGGTTGCCATTTGAGTAACACGCTAACAGTGAGATCAGTCTTGATAACTACCTAAGGTTTGTTATAAACCATTTTGGGACTTACAGTTTTGTTAAAGAATATTCCAGTGGCCATCTTTGGAACATAATGAAACAGATTCCCATCCCAGCCAGGAATGCGTCTCGTTTCGGCGATAACATCGAGGCCGCCGACATCAGCAATGAGAACATTGGGGAAGTCACTTCGAATGGCGCGAAGGAACTCGTCCACGTATCTTGGCATTTGATTTGGGTCCCCCCCAAACACCATGCGGTCTTCTTTCGCCCATCCTTCGATGACACTCTGTCCAACCTTCTGCAAGGCTTGGCGCCCCTGGGCCTTTTCCAGAATAGATAGGCCTGCGTGTATAGCAAACGCCAACTGAAAGTTCAGTCAGTTAGTGAATAAAATTCTAAATTCGAACCGGAACAGGGAAGACTCACACCAGTGAACTCTAAGCTGTTCTCCTGCACAGGCACAGCAGGCACAGGGCCCCTTGGATTCTCCATACTAATGCCCAAACGGCCGATTCCGTTGACTGTGAAGCCTCGTGGCATGCTCATGTTGAAAGATAAAGGCAGTAAGACTTGTGAGATAGTAAAGGGTGGCAAGATGGAGTGGAAGATGTTTGATATGAATGCCAATTTTGAATTAATGGTTTTCCATGCCTTCCTTATATAATTCTCTATCATAAACACTGAGCCAACATCGTTCAAGGGCATGAAACAAGTCGATTACAGTTGTCAAATGAACATCGCTCGGCTCTTCCAGGCTCCTCTCTTCCGGTAGCATTCAGGATTTCGAGCGATACGCCAACCATGCCCGCTTGACCAGGCCAACAGCTCTGTGCTGAGCGTCTACCACAAAGTAACTACATGCGGCAATGATAATCATTTTTATCGTATGTCTTGATGTCGCAACGCCCGGTCTGATGTTCTTCAGTGTTGGTTCCAACGATGTAAATTTGCATTGATCCTTTTTTTAGACGCCCAACTGAGTGAAATTGCGGGCGGTTATCTACTCTGATACCGTACAAGGCTGTGCAAGATTGGGCGCAAAATGCGCTTAGATGATTGGCTGCGTCGTCTTTTAATAGGTACGGGCCCCACTGTCAGGTCAGGGTGTTAGCAGAATTAGCCGACGAAATCAGAAGAGACGAAATAACGCATTCACCCTGAGCAGGCCTAGACAGGCACTTTATTTTGGAAGGCCACATCTTAGAGGACATTTCTTCTGTTACCCACCTGCCCACGTGATTCAATCTGTCTTTGGCTGCGACTTGTCTTGACATTTTCTATCTTTTGTTCGAATCTAGGCCGTTTCACCCTCTTGGATTCGTACTTTTTAAACCTCGAGAAGCTCTCTTCTACAATGTATTCGGACGGCTCACCCGATACAAGCAACGTTGAGGTTCTGGGCACACAGCACCGACAGGCATTCGAGCGTGCTTTAGCGCGCGTTTTGGAAACTGAAGTGGCAGAACAGACATTTGCTCAGATCATCGATGGGTTACCAACGCGCCGGTCATTCTCTGAGTTCAACCCGCTCCCGGATGCTCATCCTACAAGAGCCCATACGGAACTCTGCCCAGGTATGGTTGAGCGGGCTCGTGCATTCCGCTCAGAATTCAAAGTCACCATGCTAGACTTTCAACTTCCGGCATGTCGGAGTCATCTCTCGCTTTATCTCATTTTCTGACCTTTTTCAAAGTTACTTGATGCTTTTTCCTTGGCCACTTTCGGCTCAAAGACGTTCCATTTACGACTTCTCGAATTGTTAGCAGTATCGTGCCACCAGATTGCGGTGTATTTATATAGCCTGGATGGCGTGAACCACACACATGAAGAATACCAGAGATGGGCAAATGAGCCTCGAGACATGAATAGATTGGACTCTCATCGAGATCCTACGCCTTTCTGCCATGGATCGTATATTGATATCGACCGGTATCCTAACGGAGCTGCTGACGCTGCTGGGTACTGGGCTGAAGCAAAAATATTTGGTGGAGTCCTCGTGTTTGATAGAGGGGAATCTGAAGTAGAGGTAAGTCGCATCAATTCATCTAGCAAGAGGCAACCTAACTGTCTAACAGTGCAAAGAACTCTACCTCCACGCAGGCCTTCTTTCCGGTCCATATACCCTCTTTCCTCTCACGACGGAGCAGTTCCAGTCGTTACTCGACTTCTTACTGCGTGACGATTTCGGAACGGAGAAACCGAAAAACCCAATGCCCTTACGAGCAACCTCGAGAAACAAATGGCGATGGAGTGAGTGGGATGCCATCGCACAGCACCACATCTTTCGCGACAAGTACGAGCGGAGTTTCTCGCCAAACAGACCGAGACCAGATTATCGGTCGTCAATGGACTGGCCCGAAATAGCTGATGACCTTTACCTTATAAACGAGATGCATAATCATCGGAATGGGGAACCTATAGACAAGGAGAGGATTCGTACAGCTCTGGAGAACTTGAAGCAGATTACGCCATCCTCTCCTTGCTGGCCGGATGGGCCATTGAAACATGCATGGACTAATGTTCTATTTGAAGAAACTACGAACGGGTCTGATCACACAACTGACCAAGCCTGAACGGCTCAGATATGTTTACTAGTTGTACCTATATACCATTTAACTCCATCCCCACTGATGGGCTCTATTCGTAAATGTAACAGAACGGCGAGCCGTCAAGAGTGTCAAGCGCATCCTCAATCGTGATGGGATTAGCATTGACACCAACATCAAGGATATCAGACTTAAGAGCATCTCTGCTAGGGGGCCTGTTCTCCATAGTGATAGTACCAGCAATATCCCGCGCCTGCTTGGGGTGCAGAGCTTGCCATATCCAGTAGATACGGTCGACCATGGCGTGGTGCAGGAAAAAGATGGGCTCGTTCGGCGAAGAGTAAAAGTCGGAGGAGTCACCGCCCATGACGAAGTGACCAGCAGCATGAATACCTAGGAACTTATCGGCAAATCGTCCCTGGAACTCAACCTGCATGAGCTCGAGGCTTTGCGAGGCCTCGCCAACAGTGACGTTGTACAGGTTGGGAAGGGTCATCCATTGGTCGATGGGGTATTGGCTGATATCGCGACGGAGGCAGCGAGGGTTGTATCCGAGAGGCTCCTTGAACGAGGGCATACCGTCCATACCAGGGCTGGGCGGGCCGAGATTGGCGGTAGCATTAGCAAAGGGACCGGACTTGATACAGCCACCACCCTTGCCGCTGGGCATAATGATCTTTCCAGCAGGGTTGCCAGAAACAGATCCGTTGTGCTTCACGTACTCGCCATCACCACCCATGCTAGTCTCGGAGCCGTCGAAGAGGGGATTCTTGTAAATATCGCCCGTCTCGAACCAGTTCCAGTACTGTAATACTTGTGAGTTCACTGTACTGATTGTTTACGCCAGGGGTCATATGCTTACCGGCTGTGTGCCATTGTATTCACACTCGTCTTGGAGAGCCTTCTCGTAGGCCCCGACGAAGTGACGATGCCAGGTGAAGAAGTTACCCTGAGATGCTTGTTAGATGGTTCCAAGACTTTCCAACGAATAACTTACTGTTGCGTGAATGCTCTGAGTCTGGTTGATGTGGACCGCAACAAAATCATCATAGCGGGTGCGGGCGCCAGGAGCGAAAGAGGGATCAGACTTGGAGGGCTTCTCGCGGAGGCAAAGCACAGCGTCGACATAAGCCTTTCTCTCTGTCTTGGAAAGATTCTTCCTGTAGTGATCATCAGCGTCGTGGACTGGTGGAAACAATGCGGTAAGGAAGGCTTACCAGTCGCGGCGCACTACCGAGTTAGCAGTTGTGCACTTCTTAGCAGTGGCTCGCTCAGACAGCTTCGTCTCGGCATTCTTGAGTGCGGACAAGGCCTTAGTGTTGAGTTCCTGGATAAGGCTTTCGGCGGACTTCTCAGCGGGTGCTGCAACAACAACCGAGGCGCCTAGCAAGGCAGCAAGTGTTCCGAAAGAGAGCTTCATCGTATACTGGCTCGTGTGTGTTTCTTGGTCTGGGCAAGCCGTTGTTGATGCGTGAAGATGGAGAGGGATAAGAAACCCACCGAGAAAGAAGGATATCCGCGATATAAAATAGGCCGTCTTAAGAATCTGATAAAACAAGCCCTACCTCCTCCAATCTGGAAAGGTCCGACTACGATCTCCCGCCAAGATGGAGTCTACTCTACTAAGAGGATGAAGGCCCAGTTTTTCACTTACCATCACTGGCAGGCAGTTGGACGCAGGGACAGTTGTCCAGGGTCTTCAAGCACAGTCCACTCAATTCGGCAGAAGGTTGATGGGATAATTATTGCCCGTGCGGATTAATACTAATTTTTCACGGAGGATAGTTCTTGGACCTTACTGAAACAGTCCACAGACCAGATAGAGGCTGAATCTTGTTCACCGCCAAGGACCAGCCGTTGCAAAAGGGAACAAATGAGGCTGCGGTTAGGATTTAAGCTTACGTGTTAGAAATAAACAGCCTAATCTTAGGGCCTGATCTATTGGAAACTTATCAAGCTGTACCATGTCTGACATTGTTAGAGCCCAGTTTTCCTGTATCTGGAGACAGGGTTGTGTGTTTCAGAGGTAGTATTCGATATGGAGGTAGTGGCTGACTTTTCCATGATACTACCGAACAGGATTATGATCGCCATTACAAATACTTTAGTGATAGACTGCCGGAAAATTCGAACATTATGCCTAGACTCTGATGGGATACTGTATAGACTCCGGAGTAAAGTTTCACCTTATCTTTAGGCTAAATTGGCAACATCCTATATTCGCTTATCATTTATGGGAAACAACGCAACACCTGTAGCTCTAGAGGTGAAAGGCTCTAGATTCTCTGCTAGACTAGACTAAGCTTCAGGCCATTCATGTCTTCCGGTCTTAGAAAGGAGATCTCGACCCTTCTTCCTCCCCTCAAGCATACAGATCCTTTTTTGCACTCGAGATGACAAGACTGTACAGGCCAAGCAAACACCCGCTACTTGTCTGCTATCTACCAAGGCTTAAGCAGAAGGGCAGTCGACACGGTACTGGATGTAAGGCCAATCCGGCTTAGGCTTGACCTTGCCCTCAAGAGAAACATCATAAAGCTGGCAGTTGCCACCATCCTTGTATCCAAAGCCCTTGCATCTAGAATCAGACAGGCAAACTCCACGGCACCCTTCATATGTGCCCTTCGTCTTCGTAATATCGGCTCTGTAGTGCTGGGCCACGTTCTCGGGAACAGCGCCACGAATTCCAGCAGGGAGAGGGAAGTAGGTGTAGACGGATTGACGAGGAATGATATGGGAACTGATATCGTAGTCGAAGAGAAGGCATGAGCCACCGCCACTCTGACGAATGCCAAAGGACTTGCACTTGGCATACTCGGCACTGAAGCACTTTGCGCGGCATGCTTCAGGCGTGGAGAACCCGGAAAGGGTTATGAAGGCCGAGGTTCGGATCTGGGTAGGCACGTCGCCCATGGTACCTGTGAGACCACAGACGGTTTGAGGAGGGGATGGTTCGGGGATAGGGTTGGCACAGGCTGCTGCGATAGCAGTTGATGCGAAGAGGGTGAGATCGAAGAGCTTCATTGTAACGAAGGAGAAGTTGATAATGATGCTTGGTGACCAGAGTAAGATGGTTATGGGTGATGAGAGAACACTTATAACCAGGAGATGTTTGGCGTTACTTATAGACTTTGCTTTCAACATGTAATGACATTCCAGCGACCACGTACGAGCTCCAAAATCAATATTGAGCTCGTCGTTTCGCTACGCCAGACATGACTTACAATAGCAAAAACGCCTCAACTGAAACTCACCTACCTGGCTTCTACTGGTCTGGAATTACCAGTCAAAAGGAAACGTGAAGCTGAGTGCAAAATGGCTCTAAGACGCATGGAAGGGTGTGAACCAGTGCCTCGGGATTGCCTGGCGATGTGACGGTGGCGAGTCCGAAGTTGCTGATTGGCCATCAACAAGCAAAGCTGAGAACAAAGAATTCGGTTTTCTTTTTTCAGGTAAGGGGAAAGATAAGCAAGTGCACAGACTGGGGAAGAAGAAAGGAAATAACACAGGCCAAGCAAATAGTTTGACTGCCAAGCAAATGGTCTAACGGCTGGGCGAATGGCGTATGAGGGCAGACATAAGACTGCAAGGGGTCGAAACTCAGTTTCAAGTATCAACCAGGAAATACAACGGCTAAGAGAATGATAGAGGGTCGAATCAGCAAGAGAAAGAGGGTTATCCTTGTTAGTCTATGGGCTAACTTTCAGCTTTCGATTATCGTAGTGACATCGAGACGCGAGTTCCGGGAACTCGGTCTTTGGGTAGCGGTAAGCCCGGTTGCTCAGAATATAACCATCATAGATCTATTGAGTTACTGCATGCCACATTAGGCCAGCTTTGAGGATTATCGAACGTTTAGCTCGTGGAATGCACACCTAAAGCTCTCTGATATACCCTCCAACACAATCCCAGGGCTCAATAGTCGTGTCCAAAGTATTCTTGGCAGCGTCTGGACTCAGGTTAGACAGTCTACTCGCTAGCGTATCAGCATACACCTTAGCCAGTCATTCTTGTTTTCATTCTCAATCGACGGGGAAGAGAACCCGACTGCTTCTTCAGCCGCATCTGGCAGATTGTCTTTTCGTCTCCCATCAGAACTGCATTGGGGAACGGAGGCACGTTCAGAGCCTCCTGGGGGCCAATCGCCCTCGGCGACAACCTGGCATCGTGAGCAAAAAACGATGCAACACCCTGGGAATCTACACTAGATCCTTAGCTCTTTTTACTACCCCAGGTGGGTGTCGGAGAAATTGTCCTCTAAGGCTTAGACTACACAACTAAAGTACCTAGCCTAAGTGCTAACCATAGGTAAGGTAGCATAAGGTGACCAAATTATTTCGTCTCTTATACTCTTGGCAACCCGTTCTTCTGATACCTGACGCTGCCATGTTCCCAGTTCGTTTTTAAGCCTTTAGTTGGCTGGCATGATTTGTTACCACGTAGATCGAGGCATCCCTAATCATACAGAAGCCTGACTGAAGTTAGTCGGTACCCAACACGAGTGCCGTTTCACACAGGGAACAAAGAGTCACATAGATCAAACGATGTCAAGCAAATTATTTCACAACAGTGGGATACGATATATCATTAACATATTTCTTCATTAGCATAAAGAGTCTATCATAAACCTTGAATGCCGCTGCAATACCCCATAATACGCCAGCGACTATGCAACTAAAACTATAATACAGACATGTCCTTCTTCTCTATCACTTAATGCTCATCTTCCTCAGTGTTCTTAATGCCATTGTGGGTAAGAACGGGGGCATCACGATCCAAGTCGTACATCTCATCTTCTTGAGCATCGTAATGGCGGAAGATGGCGTAGAAGATGCAACCAGTGACGGCAGAAGCAATACCGACACCGACGTAGAGCCAGAGGAAATCGGGGTCCTTGGCGCGAGAGACAAGAGCCTCAGCAATGGCGGAACCGAAAGCGTTGGTGAAGAGGTAGATGGACTGGACGAAAGACTTCATGGAAGGAGGAGCCTTGGTGTAGGCGTACTCGAGACCAGTAACGGAGATGAAGATCTCAGAGATACCGATGAAGATGTAGGCAGGGGTCTGGATGGCGATGTGCACGTTGTTGGGGAGCTTCTTGCCGTCCACCATACCAGCAGCGCAGTTCTCGGGGTTCTCGTAACAAGGTCCAGCAGAGTAGATAAGGTGCTGGACAATAGCAGCGTAAGCGAGACACAGAGCGGCGAACCAGAAACCAATGGTGATTCGGGCGATAGGTCGAAGCTCGATTCCGAAACGTCGGAGAATGGGATACAGGACCTTCTCGATGATGGGAGTGAAAACCAAAATGGAGATAGGATCGAAGTTCTGCATAAGATCGTTGGGAACGCCGTGGCCGTTCATCTGACCAGCCTGGGTGACGAAATTGGTGGAGAACTGTCCGTAGCAAACCCAGAAGATGGGGTAGAAGACGAAGACCTTGCAAGCACGGAGAGCACGCTTCAGCTCATCGACGAAGTGGTCGTTCCAGGGGACGGTCTTGGTCTTGCCGTTGGCCTCGCGCCATGAAGGCTTGGCAGCATCGGTGTTGCGGGCAGCAATCATCATACCAAGAGCCTTGAAAGCGTCGGTGATGACGGATCCTTGAGGAGGTCGGTTGACAAAGGTCTTGCGACGGAGAATCAGAGTGACGATACCGACGTTAAACATGCAGAAACACATGAGGTAGGCGGTCCAGAAACCCTTGTACTTCTCCATGAAGGGAGTGGCAAGCAGAGAAAGGGCACCGACGTTGATGCACCAATAGAAGATCATGTAGATACGCTGGTAGGTGATGGCAGGGTCAATGACGACTCGCTCTCCGGACTTTTCAGTTCGAATAGCCATTCTGCGTCGCTGGTACTGATCGGCAATAAGAGGCGCAATGTTGGACTTGATACCACCAGTTCCCAAACCGATAACGATGATAGCAATGATGTAACCAGGCTTGCTGGCACCAGCAGCCATGGCAACAGGTAGCGAAGTTGTCCAGAGGATGATGAGACCAACCCAGTAGAAACCACAGAATAGTAGAATAGTCTTGTACTTTCCAAGGTACTGATCGGCGATGATGGCACCGAGAATGGGAGTCACGTAGCAGAACCACTGGAAGAACAGGTTCAGACCGGTAGCGGCCTGGTGACCCATACCAAGACCCTTGGGACCATCAGAGCCATCGGTAGAGTTTGAGATGTAGTTCTGGAATAGACCTTGAGCACCGTAGTAGGCGAATCGTTCTGTCAACTCAACAACAGCGATGAGGAAAGCTGAGGCAGGAAGGTTCTCTCCTACACGGCGGAGAGTGGCCCTCTCATGGTTGTTGGGTTCCTCGCCATCAGGAGTGGTGCCGAACTCTGGGTCAGAATGCTTGTCCAGAGATACCTTCTCGTTAATCTCTGAAGGGGCGATGTAACCACCCGAAAGATCAGTCTTCTTGTCAGTGACGGTACGCTCACCAAGCTCTTCGTGGAGCCTTTTGGGAGTTGTTAGCAAGGGTTCCAATTAAGCTTGAAAACAGAGTTTAACATACTCGGCGGCCAAATCCTCGTGGTTCTGAGCCATGGTTGGAGGGGAAGGGTGAATAGAGGAAAAACTTTTCTTCGCTGTCACAGGAACGGATCAGACCACGCCAGGACAGGTTGGAAGAGAAGAGAGGAATGGGAAGAGAGTAACGAGAGGGTAACAAAAATTGTCAGAATCTGGAGACGGTTATAAATGTTCTGTCATGGAAACCCGAGAATGGCCACGAGCTGTCATGGCTTCGGAGAGGCCATGCCCGTTGCTGTAAAACATCCGACGGCAAGAGGAACCTTTGATCGGGAGACTTCCCAAAGAACCATCAGGTCCAACAAACGGCCCGGATAATGAACCCACTGAAAGATGACGCTGTGGCCAATTATAGCGTCTATGCAGCCTTCCAAAATTTCGAGAAGTCTGCAGATGCCGAAGATCCGAGAGTTTCCCTGTCTCGTACGAGCGATGGTGGCACGCCAAGTGGGTAATTTTCCGTCCGACGCACCCCACAGTTTCGCCTAACAAATGGGGCTCTGATAGGTCTTGATAGTGGCGGACAGTGGAGTTGGCCGGTAAGGAATGTCCATTGTAAGCAATGAGGTGACTTTCTCTGACATTCTGACTCTTTTTTACTATTAATCGCGACTTCGCTCTCCGGAGACGGCGAACCCGCCCCGGATGACTCTTGTATCTTTTCGACATCGGAACGGGACTCAACATGGGTAACATATCCATCATGTTATGCTTATCGCCCTGATCAAGATCATGTAATCTGTGTGTTACCCAATTCATGAATCGGCATATCTTCAATAATCGAGGTTTCGCCTTGCCTTGCTGTCATTTCCGTAGAGATCTGCGTGGTGGCTTGCTTCAGCTTGCATTAGTCTACCCAAATGCAGAAAAGTGCCATTCTTTCCCCCCAAAAGCTGAAGCATCAAAAAGCCCGTTATAGTGCAGGCTGAACCTACGATAAGTGCGACGCGCCTTTTTTTTTTCGTCTCCCTCCCAAGCGCGTGGTAACGTAACAGTCGTCCGCCCTTCCGCCACCCAGTCATCGCGCAGCTTTGCTCACTAATCTCACAAAGACCCTGAACCCACCACGACGAAATTTCTACTACGTAAAAGGCGTAGGCGTCGGCGTCCATGGGGCCCCGTTCACTGGCTATCTCTACCCGCCAGGTACCGTTGATATCTTTACTCAACGGGAAGGTCGCTATTGGGTAATAGCATAAATCCCCCGCAGGTTCTTTTGCAACAAGGTTATCACTCAGACACGAGACGAGGGATGCATCGTCCAAACAGCGACGTGCAAATTGTCATATGACGTATTGTTGTCAAGTAAGAACCCCCTGTAAAAGGAAGCTGGGGCCTGGGGAGGAAGAATAGGGTTATCTCTTCATTTCAGAATGCGGTGGTTATCTGCTAGTCAACTTCTCAATGCGGCATGATATTCATTTTATCTGAGTCAAGCGATTGGGCGGGATTTGGAGGATGCGATTCAAAAGTTCGTTGTTTTGCAACACTGCAGACTTGACATGGTTATGATTCTTATCTCCGGACATCCCCCTGGCCAAGCCGGCAGCAACCGCCCTTTTCCCTTGGCGGAATGTCAGCGCATGTCGCCTGGATTGTCCATTGTTCTTGGCATGGTGATCAATTGACTTGATGATGATGGTTCTTTGCAACGTTTGATGTTGAAGACAGCCTCCTCCGCAAAACAAAATACGCCAGTGGCACGCGATGTCCCCGTCTCCATGTCACCCCGTGTTTCCAACTTTTCCCCATCTCCATCTCCTCACTCCTGTCTCCAGTCCGTTCATCTCCAATCTCCACGCAACCCTCGCAGCTAATGCAAGCTCAACCCTTCCGGGGTAACAATTCACTCACAACAACACGATTATCTCCAATCCTTCCTAGTCAGTTGTTGCACTAGGCCAATCAGCTCCTTGAAGCCGTATTTCCGTTGACGTCGTGGATTCCGGGGCAGAGAGTTCAGCTAGATGGTGGCGGCGAACTAGCAAGGGCCGTTGTCTCCCACTGATGGCTTTCATTGCAAAAGCCTGAACAGGCCTTGAATACCCACAAGCAGGTTTCGTGTTACCGAGGCGCCGAGGTTCAAAAAAGGGACAGTGAGACTTTGGAGCGCGGAAGCTAAAACTTCTAAGATTGACGACAATGCATCGAGGATGTCGTATTCAGGGTAGGTTGTCAGCATGGCAAGATACTCTGCGGTACACGAAATCACCATCAATAATACAATCTACTATCAATTACTACTAGTTAGTTTTTGACTGCTTTGTATTTCGCATTCGCTTTCTTTTCGATTAAGAAATACTGTTCACGGAAGTTTGCGTCAGGCTCGAAGTACGACATCCGCAGGCTCCAACACCCGGGTCATGACGTTACGCCGCATAGCCCAGTGACAAACCGTAGGCTCAAACTTGCACACTACAACGCGTTCTTCAATACGGATAGCAGATAAGAATCAACTACAATTGCCATATGTTACATGAATAAACGAATTACAAATCTTGGCGCTCCTGATTTAGAAGTCAGACGTTGCATCGACTTGTCAGTCATTTGAGGTTGTTAACACAGCCACTTCAGCCAAACGCCATGGCGCGCGCCTGCCACAATCCAGAGCAACCATCAAGCGCGCAATTACTCTCCCACGAACGCGTCTAAACCAACCCGAATACATCCCTCAATATATTCAACGCCCCGAAAAGCTCATTATCGTGATGTCGCCGCGCTACAACCTGCAAATTTACGGGCGCGCCCGCGAAATCTCCGGCGTCCCATAGCTTTCGCACCTTCGCACAAGCCTCGCTCAACGGGACATACCCTTCGTCGTATCCTTCCCCAGACTCAGCCCTAATGGGCGTGGGAATTACTGCCCCCGGGTAGTCGACTAGATTGTACAGCGAGGTGTACGTCCAGTATAAGCCCGTGTCGTGTGCGCACGCGGGACCGACGAACGACGGGCCGATAATGACATCCACATCTTGGGCGGTCCAGCTTTGCGCGAAGGAGAGGCGGAAGTCGTCTCTGGGCTTTTGCTGAAGGGTTATGTCGAGGGCAGTTTGCATACCCAAGAATTCGCCGTCCTGGGTGATCCATTCTGTTAGAGGGTGGAGCGGTTCGCCAGTCGAGACGATGCCATTCTTGGTGAGTTGAGCGCCGTCGGGCCAGTACAATCGTCGGATCTGGTTCCAGGCTTCTTCGGCCCCGAAGACTTTGAAGTCCTTAACTTCAATCAGATGCGCGTACTTGCTATCGGAGAGGATGGCTTTGGCCCAAGAGATAGCTCTCTTGACGGGAGGTTGAGGCTCGATGAAGCCATCGTTGCTGATGATACCCACTTTGAGTCGTCGATTGAATGGTGTGTTCAGACCAGTCCATGGTAGGGGCACGACGTTCGGATCGGAAATGAATGGCTTCGCTGAAAGAATGCATCGCATAAAGAGATCCATGTCTCTCAGCGATCGACACATGGGTCCTGTCGAGAGAGGCACGTTCAACACTGACGGAGGAGGTGCGCCCTTGACGTACCCTCTTGTCGGCAACGTGTTTGACGTTGTCTTGAACCCATAGATGCCACAAAAGGCAGATGGTCCTCGAATGCTGCCCCCGATGTCTGTCCCGACGCCGAGTGGCGAGCCTTTCATGGCAATTAAAGCTGCTTCACCACCCGTCGAACCCCCAGCAGTCAAGTGGATGTTGAAAGGGTTTAAGACTCTTCCCCAATGCGACTCGGTCTCCAGGTGCATGATGGACTGCGGCTGATTGGTCTTGCAGTAGATCACAGCACCTTGACTACGCCAGATAGCCACGACATCAGCGTCTGTATCATCCCATGTGATGCTCGCCAAACAGCCCTGAGAGGAGTATGTCCCAGCGACCTGAATGTGCTCTTTAATGCTGATGGGCAGACCGTGGAGAGGACCGATTGGCTTGTCGTGTTGTTCGAAGTAGGCATCTAGCTTCTCAGCTTGAGCGATTGCCTCGTCCATGAACCATTGTGTCAAACAGCACGTGAGTTGATGGGCAATGATCGCGCGCTTGCAGAACGCTCTCGCGACTGCGACTGAAGTGTATCTGCGGCTTGCGATTGCCTCAACAAGGCCGACGGCATCATGTTCAGTGATCTTCAGCTCTTCCGACGACAAGATACCGCATGTCGCAGGAATGCCTGTGACGTCTTTCGGAGGGTGTCGAATGAGACTGGTTGGGAGGCGAAGGTCTTGAGGAACCTTGGAAGCAAATGCTTCGAGAAGGGCTGCGCGTCGGGTTTCGAAGTCGGGCGTGCCACGTAGGACGGGTGCCATCTGTACAACAGGAAGTCCCGGAAGCACGCTCCCAGCAACAAATTGCCCAGAATCGGCAACCTCGCAACGTTCCACCGTCACATTTGATGATGCTTTGGGTGAAGACTCAGACCCAGGTTGGGCGATCGATGAAGAGGCGAGACTCATGTTCATGGATGTCCGCAAAGGCCAGGATCGAGAACGTCAAGAGGAGAAGACAATGAACAATTGACCACGCAGATTTGTATCATCTGCTAACCTCATATACCTCCTGCCAGTCGCATCAACTTGGCCAAGCCATCACGCTCGAGCCTGGAACTAACACAAGCAATGCTTGATAGCCCGCAAGGTGTCAGAAGAATTGACCGTTGAAAGCATAAGATACGAAATAACTTGGTCATCTTATGCCACCTTAGACTATCATTTAGGCTACTTTATTTCTGTGGCCTAAGTCTTAAAGGACATTTCTTCTGTTACCCACCTAGATAGCCTTCAGCCCACGTAAAAATTAACATTGCCCGAGGAAACGCGTTATCTTCAATCGGTCGCACTCGCAGGCTCGAAGTTGGTGGCGCACGCGCCAAGATCTCAGAGAAGCCCGTGATGCACGTTGTGTGACCAAACTGCAACACCCACGCACTTCCTATCATCAAGAGAAGACCTAAGCGAAGTATTGTTCATCTTCAGCCGCATCAGAATGCCAGGGCTTCATTCTCGAACAGCTTATCGCGGCCAATAGCGCGTTGTCGCGTAACACCTCTAATCCCGAGATGGCTTCTAAGAACAATACTTTGCGGCGTTCCATTGTTCCTCCACTAACGCAAGCCAGGACCATCACCACATGCACAAAATCTCGAGATGGAACAATATGAGGTTTGCGCGCACGGTGTCGTTGATGGATGTCTCGACCGTTGCCACTTTGAACGGTCATGAAGAGATAGACGCGATGCGCGACGTTGGAAGGACATATAAGGCGTTGCGTTGAGCCTTGTGGAACAAAGACGAAGGACTCAAGATACATCAATTGCTTCAACCCTGTTCTCTTCAATCAATTGACTTTGTCAAAATGCCAGAGTCAGACTCCATCCCCGGTACAATCCATCTCGTGGACGTCCAGCGTAATCTGCGCGTTCGTCATGCGGGTGGTGGTGAAGGCGACATCGTCTTAGATCCTGCTCCATCTGACGATCCAAGCGATCCTCTCAATTGGTCTCCTCAGCGCAAGCGCCTGGCTTTGGTCTGCCAGAACTTGTAAGCTCATTCCCTAGACTGGTGAGCTCTGTGATGTTAACTGAGACAGATACACTTGGTTCTCGGGCATGTCTGTTGCGACTGTGTACTCTGTTCTTGTACCGCTTGCGCAACAGTCAAAGGTCTCGATCCCGACTCTCAATGAGGGAACGGGTTACATGTATTTATTCCTGGGCATTGGACTGTTGTTCTGGCAACCGTTTTCGCACCGGTATGGCAAGCGAGTGGTATATCTCATCTCAATTCTTGGGGCACTTGTAAGTTGGGACTCCGAAGCGCAGTGACGAGCAATTGCTGACCATGATCATAGGGTACCAGTGTGTGGAGGTAAACATGTTCAACCGTCGCAATCTGTTCAAGACTGACCGTGTTTCGCAGTGCATATGTGTCGAGCAATGGGGAATGGATCGCCAAGTGCATCATTCAAGGCTTCTTCGTCGCGCCCATCGAAGCTCTGCCTGAGATCTCCGTCACCGATATCGTAAGTCCACGCTGCCCATCAATTGTACGACCCGAACTCATCGTTCTTAAGTACTTCACCCATCAACGCGGTACATACATAGGCATCTACGCCCTCGCTCTCGCAGGAAGCAACTATTTCGCACCCGTCATTAGCGGCTTCATCGCCGAGTATCAAGGTTGGCAATGGGTCTTCTACTGGCCCGCCATCTTCCTCTCTTTCGTCTTCGTCTTCCTGTTCCTCTTTATGGAAGAGACCAACTACATCCGCGCTGCGCCCGACATCAACAGACCCCAGATCGAAACCTCCCGAGCGAGCGATGAGAATACTGGCAAGGCGGGAGAGAAAGAGACGGAAGCTGGGAAGGATGAAGTTAGAGAGGCTGATGAGGCGGTTGGGGAATATGCTAAGCCCAAGACCTTCTTGCAGAAGATGTCCCTCTGGCATCCCTCGCCTGGTCAGAGTATGGCGCGACATGCTGGGCGCTCACTTGAGTTCCTTTCCTGGCCCGTCATCTTCTTCGCTGGCTTCTCATATGGTTCCTACCTCATCTGGTTCAACGTACTCAATGCTACAGCGTCCATCGTTCTGTCTGGTCCGGGATATGGCTTCAAGCCATCAATGGTCGGCTTGAGCTACCTCTCCTGCTGCCTCGGCACCATCGTCGCCTTCGGCGCCGCAGGACGAATGAGCGATTGGCTGACCATTAAACTCGCGCGTCGCAACAATGGTATCATGGAAGCTGAGCATCGTCTGTGGCCACTGGCAATATGCGTCATTGGTGTTCCGGCCTCGTTGATCCTCTGGGGTGTTGGAGCGCAGCATGGTGTGCATTGGTTTGGTCTGATCTTTGCCATGTGCGCTTTGTCGACGACCAGTGTGATGGGCTTGATCATTAGCATCAATTATCTGATTGATAGCTACTATGACTTGAGTGGTGACGGTATCACAACGATCATCCTGGTTCGAAACACGATGTCGTTCGCTATTAGTTATGGGTAAGTTGAGGCTATCGCACAATGGACGCCCGCTAACAAGAAGAACAGTATCACCCCATGGATCACCAACTTGGGATACCAGAACTGCTTCATCTCTGCTGCATTTGTCGCCTTGGCCGCTTGTTCTGCGGTCTTCATCATCATCAAGTATGGCAAAGCACTGCGAGTACGGACTGCGCCCAGATACCACAAGCTAGTCGCAGATGACAAGAGAGTTATGGGCCTGACGTCGTAGTCGAGTCTGCTGTATACCAATTAGGCTGGTAGTGCTGATGACCAGAAGCAGCAGGAACTTGAGGCGACAGACGACCCGAGGCCTTGTCTAACACCGTCCGAAAGGACTAAATTGTTTCGTCTCTTATGTTAACGGGGTCAAGGTTTCTACGAGCACCAGAGAAGCTTTCATGGACCCGAGGGATTGCTTAATTAGGTAGTATAATTAATACTCGTAAATATTATCGTATCATTTCGAGTTCGACATGTCCGCGCCCGATCCCGCTATGCTCCATGTGAATCAATCTCAAGGTTGTCTAGAAAAATGCAGCCGCAGCCAGAATGGCAGCAGCGAGAGCTCCGATGCTCGTTCTGGTCTTGGATCCGACGTTACCAGAATCGCTGGTCTCGCTCGCATTTGCGCCATCAGCTGTAGACGTCCCGGAGCCAGAGCCAGAGCCACTGCCACCCTTCCCACCATTTCCACTACCACCAGAGCCTCCACTACCTCCAGCTCCAGAGCTTGACTTTATTCCGCTATCGGTGCCAGCACGAACGTTACCGACAGTCATGGGCGAAGGCGTATCACCGCACGTCTGCGTTACCTGAACATTCGCAGCGCCGGGATTGTCCGAAGATCGGATCCCGCTGCTCTTGACGTCCTGGAACTTGCCATCGGTGGTATATAGAGGTTCGCTGTAAACGTTTGCGCTGCCCGCTTGAATCTGTAGTGTACAGTCCGTCTTTGTAGCTCGTTTTCGTAGTTTGGCGCTTCCTTCGCCGACGAGGATGGATGCAACTATGTAGATGAGTTCGTCGTCGTCGAAGTCGTCATCATCGGTTTCGACGGGTACGGTAAACGTTGCTTGGCCGTTGGCGGGAGCGCTGAGTTTACTGTGATCGGACAAGTTAGCGGAGGGTATTTAGAAGTAGGATTGGGAAGACATACATGGCGGGCTTGCCGTCGACTTCAATCAATTTTGCGTTGTCGCCGATCGTCGCATTCTTGAGGTCGACTTCGACTACAGCGCCGGTGCTTGTCGGAGCAGAGCTCTCGGTAGCCGTCAGAGTGGCTGTATCCGTTGCATCGTCATCGTCTGTATCGGTCGCAGTAGCTGTAGCTTCGTCGTCGGTCGCACTGGCTTTGAAGGTTGTCAGCATATCCTTTCGCTGCGCTGAGTTGATTCTGCGCCTTACCATCTGATGTGACTGTTCCTACAACTGCAGATGAAGCCTCATCATCGTCATCATCATCGGCCGCTGTAGCTGTTGGTTGTCCCACTTGAGAGGCATCCGCTGTCTCTACCGGCTCGTTCGCCGAAGGTTCTGGGACGGCCGTGGGCGCGGTGTCAGCGTCCGATTGTGGTGTATCGTCATCATCATCGTCGCCGTCGCTTGAAGGATTCGTGGGCTGTTGTACAGGCGCCGAGGGCTCTGCTGCGGGTGACGAAGGTTGGGGTTCAGCGATAGCTGAGGGCTCTGGTTGTTGTTCTGGGTCTGCGACTGTTTGGGCGAGGCCGTTGACAGCCAAAAGGCCAATGAGGACGCTAGGAGCGAAGCGCATATTTGTGGGTGTCGGTGGTTATCAGGCTCTTAATCGATAAGGCACAGCGATAAGGATGCTCAGTTAACAGTGTTGAAGTGGAAAACAGATCTTTACGTAGGAATACCAAAAAAGAAGAATTGAAAGACTAAAATTCGAACTGAAAGATGCTTATTGTTATAGATGTTCAAACATTCAGCTAAGCTCCCTCCCTTCGGCCTCTGACCCTGCAGATGGTGGCTCTGCCAGTCTAGACCCTGTAAGTGCTGGCTACGAGCAGCTAGACCAGCCACTAAAACGCCAGCTTGAAGCACTGGGGCTGTGTTTACCGCTAAAACAGCTGTTGGGTCGACAAAAATAGCGTCCATCAGGTGCTACGTGTCAGCGCCACGATATTATTGGACATGGAACTGTTTTCTATACGAGAATATCGTTGTCAAAGGGCAAGCTCAATTCGCAATGGAAGATCCCTGTAGTTGTAAACACTTGTGTCCTCCAAGCTTGTATTAAGCTTAAACCAGCAGCAGAAACGGAGCGCCTTGGCTGCAGGGTTTAAAATGGTTTCGATAGTTGGCGCCATTGAAGGAGGACGCTGAATACAAGCTGAAATCTTAGTAGAAAACTAATGGCAAATTCCGTCTCCGTCTGACAAAAGGTATGCAGAATTGGCAGTTGACAATTGAGGCTGAGCAGTCATACATGTTTTGGCCTTCAAGCCAGCATTCCCATCTTCAGCTCGTCCCTGGAAGGCTTGCAATTGTGCCTGGCGTGACGCTACAGTTCAAAAGGCGTATTTTATTCTTCTAGCGACTACTCAATCCTCCTTCAGCGATCCACACTGCTACGCATACTGCGATCTACTTTCAGCCCACTTTGGACGAAGGTATTCACTGTCAAACTTGACATCAAAGCTCGAACTATGCGCATAATCAACCTCCCACTCAACTTTAACCTCACCACCTTTAGCGCTCTGACTCCAAACCGTGACAGCGATCGTGTTTTCTCCGCTGTAATTGAGCACGCCGGGAGGAACAGGAAAAGAGACCTGGTTGCCGATGTAAGGATTGAATCGGCCGTATTGGTAGCCGTTGACGAAGAGAAGCACGCGGACGTGGTTGCTGTAGCCCTTCTTGGTGGGCGAGAAGGTCGCGTTGGAGGGAGCGGTGAGCTTGAATGAGATGCCCACGTCGAGACCATCGGGAATGTCGAGATCGACGGTGGTTCTGTAGGCACGGACTCCCGCTGAAGGGTTGACGAGGGTTCCCTGCTTAGAGGAGTAGGACTTCCACTTCTTGTCGGAGAAGCCTGGCAGGTGAGCACCGATACGCTCGGCGTAGAGACCACCTTCGTTGAGAGGACCGCGAACTGGATCGATGACTTCGCCTTCGACGCTTCCGGCATGGCCAGCGATCTTCCACTCGGAGAACTTGTATCCATCCTTGGCAGAGCCGATGAGAGTGGCGTTGGTGATACCTCGAGGGTCAAGAGCGCCATCGCGAAGATCGTGTCCAGAGTTGTCCATCAACACGACTAGGGTGTTCTCTTTCTTGGACAGAGTGGCATTTTTGAAAGAGAACTCTTGTCCAGACTTTCCGACGGTAGCATTGCCAAGGTAAGAGCCGATGTAGTCCGAGTTGAGCCAGACAGAGTAGCCAAAGGCCAGGCCACCTGTGACATTCAGATACACACCAGTGGGAGCCTTGTCAGTCGTGGGGAAACTGGCCCTGTAGATGTGGTTACCGTAGTGGATGTTGTATTCGTCGACATACAAGACGGGGTTCTTCAAGTCGGGAACGAGAACCGCATTGGTAGTATTCTTCTTGTTGGCCACTAAAAAATGTCAGTACTAGGGAATCCCCAGTGAAAATAGATACTTACCAATCCAGCTTGAAGAAGAAGTCTTGTAGTCCGACTTGATCTCAGGCAAGCTGTCCGCGTACTTCCACGACTCAAGCTTGGGAAGCTTGACCTTCGAAGGACCCTTGAGCTTCGCGGTGTACTTGTGGCTCTCCTTCGATGAGATCTTGACCTTCTCGCCGTTCCAGGAGACGGATTTAAGAGACTCGGAAGCAAAGATAGTGATGTCGGTAGACTTGTCGAGATCGCCTTCGATGTTAAGCTGGCCATCCTTGACGGTCGCATGACGGACGAGGTAAGGTCCATGGACAAGAACTACAAATTTTAGTTAGCTATTATCTGACGGATATTCAAGATAAGCACATACCGGTTTTGTTAACAGGTGCAAAAGGATCATTGTCCAGTGTCGGTGCCCAGAACTTGTAAGCGGTCTGGCGATCAGCCAAAATAATGGTCGAGCCGTCCTTCATGTTGAGGGTGAAAAGGCCCTTCTTCTGAGTGTAGTTGACGGTAACACTCTTCTTACCCGCCTTGATCTTAAGACCCTTCAGCGACTTGTCATGCTTGAGCTCAGTATGTCCCTTGAGTACGAACTCTCCGTGCTCACCCTCGGGGAGCCAAAGCACGATGACCTCCTTCTTATCGATGACAGAGTAGGTGAGGACCTCGGCTGTGGTATAGAGAAGGGTCTTCTCACCGAAGTGGAAGTCGGTAGGGATGATCTTGGACTGATGCCCGTTGATGGTAATGTGGTCATTCTGAGGAATGATCATCTCGCCCTCCGTAGTGTTGACGCGGACCTTGAAGATCTCCTTAGTGCCGGATGGCGAGTACTCGTGACGAGCAACGTAGAAAGCTGCACCATTATCCTCGTGTCGAAGCTCAGAGATAAGAATGTCGTCATTGGTAGACAGAGATGTACTGTTCGTGACACGGTTGGTCTTGGTAAGATCATGCGCCACTCGAGTAAACAAAGTCAACGACTTAGTCTCATAGTACTTATCCCAGATTTCTCGGTTCTCAGAGATAGGCGAGGAGTAATCATAGCTAGTAGCAACCACAGGGCAAGCGAACCAGCCCCAGTTGGTACCACCGTACATCATGTAAAGCGAAATAGCCGTGGCTTGCTGAGCAACCAAGTCACGGTAGAAGATGTTTGCAAAATCAGGACCAATGTCGCCTGGGCAGCCGCCCTCCGGACCACCCCATGGGTTGTAAGAACCGCCCTGGAACTCAGGCAGGAAGTGAGGTTGGGCTGGAGACTGTTTGGCGAAGTAGGTGACGTAGTCTTGGATGTTGTAGGGGACGTATTCGCCATTGGTGCCTGTGCATTCGTCGAGGTTGCAGCTCCAGCAGGATGGGTAGCTGTCTACACCAGTCACGTCAACATTGCCAGTTGCATTGGCCTCGAAGTCATTTGACCAAGAAAAGGTGCGCTAGGATGGTCAATATTGATGGATCAAGTAAGATGGCGGGTGGGAAGTCTCACAGTATTAGGAGCGTTGTGGAAGACGGGTACATCGATGCCAGCGTCTCGTGCCGAATCTTGCAGGAGTTGCATATAATTCGCAGTTGGTTCGTTCAAGATGCGCTTGTCATCGTTCTTCCACTGACCACCCAGCTCGTTTTCGATCTAGAGAAGTTGATTAGCCTGAAAGACTCGTCTCATCTCAGAATAAGGAATCTTTACCTGGAACATGGCAACGTTGCCGCCATTGGTGATGAGATGCGGCTCAATGATCTTCGATATCTCAGTCCAGTATTTGGACCAGGCCTTTGTGAATCTAGGATCATCGTTGCGCAGCCTGCCATACTCGCCGGTGGTCACCCACAGGGGGAATCCTCCAGCGTTGGCCTCGGCATTGACATAGGGACCTGGGCGGATCAAGAGATAGAGACCGAGCTCCTTCGCTAATGTCATGATAGACACAAAGTCGTGCGCGCCGTTCTCGAAGTCAAGGGCGCCTGGGGAGGCTTCGTGGTAGCCCCAGCTGTTGTAGATGCTGAAAGCATTGAAACCGGCCGCTTTGATCTTTTCCAGCAAGTCGCGCCAGAGTTCAGGCCTAGCATGAATCGTCAGCAACGTGGACTTGGAGTTGGGAGGTCAGGCGTACACAGGCAAGCGCCAGTAATGGAACTCTCCGGAGAAGACAAAGATTCGTTCACCGTTGATGAGGTAGCTGTGGTCGTCCCTATTAATTGGTTAGTGTAAGGCTCAATCCATATGAATTGCTCCACTCTACCATTGGACAATGTTTGTCAATCCATTGTCTTGGATTGGAACGTTGGCATTCTCTTGCGCAATTGAGAATCCTGTCAAGGCCAGAAGCCCGACGGTAGAGAGTGAAAGCAACTTCATCTCGACGCAATACCTCTGTCAACAAGGCGAAGGCGCAGAAGTTGAAGCCATTTTGGCGGTATTTGTATGAAGCTCGGTGGTTAATAACCCGTACAGCATGCATGACATGACATAAAGTCGCATGCCGAACCTGTCGATCCCAGCCCCGGGAGTTCGGTCTTGCTTGCCCGGTTGGTGAGGGGAAGAATTTGCATCAATAGGAATTTTGCCGTTGTTGCGGTATTAGCCGTTGGTAGTTGTTGGACAAGACTTTATTATGCCTGATGACACCTTTACCCCACATTCCTCCGCATTTCTATTGACGCGGCTCTGGACGATGAAGATGTCATTTCATATGCATCGGTCGTCTTTACCCTTTCAGGTCAGCTTTTTACCTGACTATAGTGGACAATTTCTATCATGCTGGCAAAATTGATTGAAACCGCGTATAAATCGGCATCGGCCGAGTTCCGTCGTATTATGTTTTGCCCACATGTGGTCCATACCTTGAGTAGATCGCGCTGATCTACAGGCAAGCAGGTGGGTGTCAGATTTACGAAGCCAAATAAAAGTATAAGTATAGGTAGCCTAAAAGCTACTCTAAGCTAGCATAAGATAATCAAAATATCTTATCTCTTATGCTTTTGGGGACTAATTCTTCTGGTAGTTTGAGGGAAAGTCATAGTAGAAGAGCGAATGAAAACAGATGATCTATTTACAACTTTAAAGACCTATGTATCCAATGTCTACCCCTACAATATGTGTCTGATTCCAATTGGGTACAAAGTGCATCACATTCTCTTCAAAGCACTTACTCGACTCTCAGTAGCTCTCTTGAACCAACTGAGCTCTCTCATTCCATCAAACCCATGAGGCAGTCCAGGCCAAAGATGCAGCTCCACCTCAACATGCTCATCAGCCAATCTATTAGCATATCTCAAGCTCTCATCTCGGAAAAGGTCTAGAGATCCGATATCGATGTATGTGGCCGGAAGACCTTTCAAGCTGGCAGCTCTCGCAGGAATAGCGTAGGAGAGCGCTAGTTCATCCTCACCCTCTCGAAGTTTCGAAAGATAAGCGTCCCATGCGACTTTTGCACCAGCCGGTCTCATTACTAGGACGTCTAGATAAGGGTCGCCTTCCTTGAGGTTGTATTGATCGTCCAGCATGGGATAGACCAGAATCTGTTTCGCGATTGGAGGATTGAGTTGACGGTCCCTGGCCATCAAAGCAGCGCCTGCGGCAAGACCACCACCAGCACTATCACCATACAAGGCGATTCTAGTAGGGTCGATATTGAGTTCTGCGGCAGAGCTTGATACAAATTGTATAGCTGCCCACGCATCCTCAAGTGCCGCTGGAGCAGGATACTCCGGGGCCAACCTGTAGTCGACAGCAAAGTATGGCAACTTCGAATCATTCGCAAAACGCGCAATCTGCGGTGCGAATGGCGGTACCGTGCAGGCTACGAAGCCTCCTCCATGGAAATAAATAACTGCGGGCGTGGGCTCCTTCGAGGCTAGTGTCTCGTCGCATGCGAAGCGGGTGACTTCGATCTCGGTCCCATTAGAACTCTTGACTCTGTATACAGTTTCTTTCACTCCAGGTGGGTATGGCGAGTTGGTGACAAAGTTTCGAATGGTGTTTTCAATACCGGATCTGAGTTGGTGTACTGTCTGAGGTGGATCGGATCTGGGACCTATGGGGGGTGATCCGATTGCTTTGTAGTATTCTGGGTCGTATCTGAGGCCAGCCATGATGATATCAAGGTTGGGATGATATGGGTTCGAGAGATGATGCCTAGATGTGAGGGCTTTTTAAGAAGGAGTTGCTGACTTTTATATAGGCTAATTTGTAAAACCCCGCAGAGTGAGATTCCGGCTGTTGGTGGTGTTTTCTATCGTTTTCAAAAACGCTTGCGAGCTGTAGAAACAGTTTCAATACGAGGCTTGAAGCGATTTGGATTTCACAGTTTATGCCGACAATGTCCAACTCATCCCCAAGTTAAGGAGGACTTCACTCTTATATGTTCATGCCGTCGGGGATGATTGTCTGAGCTTACGTGATGTTGCCTGGAACTTGTTCCTGGTTATAGTAAAGCGTCGCAGATGCAGTGTAGTATAGCTCTTGGCTTGCTTATTATGCGATTTCAAGTCTCACTATGAGATGGGTAGCAAGAAAATGTCTGAGACTTGGGGTGTCAGAATAAAGTGGCCTAGATGCTGGTCTAGGTCCGCACAAAGTGACCACATCATTTCGTCTCCTGTGCTTACAAGGATCAATTCTTTTTATACGCGTATAACAACTAAAAGCGAAATTGTTTGCACAATTGTCCATTCTGAATGATGACATCAGTGGATAGGCCATGCGTTGCCTCGTTGAGCTACTTCGATGTAGGGTAACCGACATACATAGATATTCGTAGCCAAGGCAGAAAACAGTGTAGTGGTTCGAAACATAGATATGTTAGGGTATTCCTTGAAATCTGTCTTGCAGTATTTGACACTGTCTATCGTAAACACATTCCAGTCTATGACCAACTCGAAAGAGTGGCGGAAGAACTGCCTTCCGAAAACACAACAGACAAAGCAATTTAGTTACTTTATGCCAGGTTAGGCTAGCCTGGACCAGACTACTTTATCATGATGCCCAAGCCTTGGGGGCCATCCCTTCTGTCAACCACTTGCAACCTGCAACTTTCCTTATTACTCGAGATGTTGCAGAAGAATGATGGAAAGGGTTGCCGCTTTAATAATATCCATCATGAACGGGTAAACCGGGCCTCAGTTGAAGTGCCGAGGAACCCTTGCTCAATGATGGATCCAAAACAAGGACCCCCACCACACATTGACACTACAGGGGAGGGGAGGGGAGGGAGACTGTCGGAACGAGAGAATGCCATGCACCAACAATGACAATGCCTTGTTTGTCTTTGAATGTGATGGGATTTTCAGGTCAGATCAATCTTATTGATACGCTATCACACGGGGTTATCTATAACAAAACGAGCCGTGTTATGTCCTATGTCTGTGTCCTCAGGGATTTGACCACTGAACAGTGGTGGACTTTATGTGACAGGTTCGCTTAAGACGCTAGACACTCCACTGAGGTTACAAAGCTGAAAAAATAAAACAATATTAAACTCTAAACGACGCCTTAATCTATTTCAAGTAGGGACGCGCTGGCAGTTCACACCAAAGTGCTAACCCGACAGGGCTAGATAGTGGGATGATCACTGAGAGAACGAGACATCAACAAGGATAAGTTCAATGCCCAACTGGTCAAGGGAGACGAGCAAAAAATAGAAGAGAGGGTTGATGCGCCCAAATTCAGAAATTTCATCCATTAGAACCGACTGACCCTATTTGGGCTTGTTTAGACAGTCGACGTCAAGTGATAACTGTCAACTGCACAGCACAGCACTGTCACGCTGCACACCACACAGCATAACAATTCCTGCAGGATTCGGTAGTAAAAGCTTGGCCTCTTCTTTTCATCTTTCTTTACCGACAATCAATTTATCCATTTGCCACCTCCCCCAAAAAGACAAGCACCAAGCCCATCGATCAAACTAAAAAAGGAGGAGAGAGTGAAAGAAAACGTTTTTTTTTTGGCGTCGGATCGGCCCGCATTCCTCCTGTCAAATTTACTCGGTCGAGTCGACTTACGAATACAGCAACAAATGGCAGACACAGCAGACAATGGACGCGACTCGAGCTCCATGAGAAGCGCCGGAGCCGGATCCACTGGAGCGACAAGGCCTGCGACACTCACCGCCTCGTCCTCGTCCAACATTTCCAATTACGCCTCTAGCGTCTCCAGCGACAACCAGAGCTTGAACCAGAGCCACAATAACCTTTCAGGGAGTACAGGCGCCCCTGGAACGCCGGTTAGCCGACGCTCAGGCGGGTGGGATCGGCAAACTCTTTCCCCGGCCGCTGCTGCAAGGGTTCGACTTGATGATGTGAGTATCAACTACATGATATGGTGTGATATTTCCGAAACTGACCATTATGCTAGAATGAAGATCATGCTCCCCACCAATCGAGTAATTTACGACCTAGCAGTGAATTATTGGAAGACTCTTCGGATTCTTCAGACGAATACATATCGACTTACAAGCCATTGAAGACGTAAGAGATTACTACTCCATTCAACATGACTGACTCTATACTAACTTGATCAGTGCATCGCGATCAAAACGTTTCTTTCAGTCTATGGTCAGCAAGTTTACCAAATCCTCAGTTCGTACGTTTCTCGCCCACAAATTCAGCTGTATTCAAATACTGATCACACGCAACACCAGGTTACGGATATCTACAAAACACTCAGCAAGAACAAGATAGAAATGGTAATTACACCTGCCTCAACATAGACTTGCTCCCACTGACATTTCCCAGTCATACAACATACTGTTATCATCAATGTTTTTAAAGGACAACTTTGTTTATCACCTATAACACCAAGACCAAAGCGAGTCCTCGATGTAGGCACAGCAGGTGGAATATGGGCACTTGTAAGTTCACTCCAAAACCAGTACCAATATTGTACCCGTTTCTAACTTTTGTCTAATAGGAATTTGGTAAATCTTCCCTCGAGTCAATGCCTCCAACCTCAAATCTAACAGCCCATAGCCCAAAAACACCCATACTGTTCCGTCCTAGGCGTCGACATTGAACCCATCCACCCACAATATACAAAATCCAACTGCACCTTTAAAACAATGGACATAACCCAAGACTGGGACTTTGAAGGCGGCGGCAACTTTGACTTAATCCACGTTCGACAACTCGGCGATATAAACGACAAAAAGAGGTTAATTCAATCATGTTTCGAACATTTACGGCCCGGAGGTTGGGTTGAATTTACAGAATGGATCGCCATACTAAATTCGCCTGACCACTCACTAAGAGGGACCGCCTTTCGCAGATGGAACGATTTACTAGAAGAAGGTTTACAGAATTTCGGCACTACTGTAAAGTACCCCGAGAAGTTCAAGCCGTTGCTACAAGAGGCCGGGTTTGAGCCTATCATCGAGACGAGAAATGGTGCGCCGACAAACGCGTGCTATCCTGGGAAGAAGTTACAGCGCATAGGCCATCTGATGACGCAAAACTGGCTGCTTATTATCGAGCCGTTGACGATGCCCGTTTTCACACAGGGCTTGGGATGGACTCCAGATCAAGTGAACGCTCTTCTGGCGGAAGTGCGAAGAGAGATTGCGAACACAAAATATCACTCTTTCATGACATTGTGAGTAACAACCATCGGAAATCCAAATAACATTTTGTACTGACTGAAATCTAGAATCACAATATGCGCCCAGAAGCCGTGGGACGGAATACCCCGATCGTCGAGTTCGACCTCGGCAACAGCTTCAGCTTCGGCTTCAAGATCAGAATCTTCTCTTCCCCAGACCAGTAGATCAGGTACTCCACTTCCTTTCTTGGGAGACATTCTTTAAGCACAATTTCACAAAAAGGCATTTTACAAGGTCATCGAAGGGGTCTGGCACTGGATTGGTTGATGATTAGCGGTGTATCGTTCATGATATTCAGCAGATGAAAGAAGCTGTATCGACAATGGAATAGATGAATAAAGCGGCGTTGACATCATTAGAACGTCGATAACCTTGGAGAGCAAACGGCGTATATAATTGAAGTGAAGGAATACCCTAATAATAATTTTGAGATATGGAATGGAGATCCAAAACTGTCGTCTATATCAAGCCCAAAGAGAAACATCCGCGCCCTCACACAATCATTCGAGAAACCCTCGCCGCCAAGTCCTGAATACTATACGGGTTCGTCAAGTCACTGATAGGCAAGTCAATCTGGAAGGCATATCTCGCCCAAGATCTGACCTCAATAGCGATGAGAGAGTCCATACCGTACTGGACCGCGGATCTCGAAGGCTGGATGTCACCAATCTTCATGGACAGCACTTGTGCCAGCTTGGCAACAAGAGCGGTACAAACGGTGGGCTGTAAAGCAGCTTCTCTACCCTCGGACGCATCGCCAAGCCGTCCGAGAGCGCTTCGGAAAGCCTTGACAGCTGTCTGGACTGCACTTTCTCCACTTCCAGCATCCGCATCACTCGCCGCGTTATCAGTAGCTCTAGATCGCAGCATACCAAACTTGGCGTCCTTGGCCCAAGACTGCCATTCAGATGTGGCTTTATCAATCATGCCAAAGCTGAGAACAATCTGGCCTTGGGCGAAGTTATCATAGGCAGAGTCCTTGGGAGCTGTGGGGTTCTCAGGCAGACCGGTGGCAATAGCACCCTCTACCACGCGTAGAACATCTCGTACTGTGATAGGCCTGAGACCACGAGACAGCAAGGAAGCTTGAATCTCGGGACGCTCACTGATGTTTCCAACATCTTCAACAAAGCCGAGATCAACAGACGAAGCTGGAAGACCGAGGCTCTGTCGATAACGAGCAAAGGTGTCGAGGAAGGTGCTGCTCGCCGAATAGTTCGACTGGCCCTCGTTACCTAGAACACCACATCCCGAGCTGAGCATGACGAAGAAATCTAGGTGCTGTCCTTGAAGACAGTTGTGGAGGTTCAGTGCACCGTTGACCTTGGGACCGAAAACCGCATCGAAATCCTTGAGGGTGATGTCCTCAAAGAAGCGATCCTGAGAGATTGTTAGATCAATGAATAGAGAGCCATGTGGCCAAGGACAAGTACTCACGCTAAGTCTCAATGCTGAATGAATGACGCCACCAACTGGTGTATTCGCACTGGCAATAAGTCGTTCCACAGCTGAGTAGTTGCCGACGTCGCAGACCTCAACTCTGGCGTTGCACCCATATGAAGACAGCTGCTGCAAAAGATCGCCAGACTGTGAGGCCTTCGCGACCGAGCTGGTAGCAAGAATGAGGTTTCGAGCACCATAACTGGCCATCCAAACTGCGATTGCACGTCCTAGACCGCCAAGACCACCAGTGATGATGTATGTCTTTCGATGGTCGAAGGGTGATGTCTTGGGTTGTGTCTATACAATGGCGAAGTCAGAATCTGATTTTACGTGAGTGATTGACGGTACATACCTTGACCAATTGCGTATCGCTACTGTCTGCAAGTGATATCACTTGTTTCTTGTGAACATCTGTACATAGAGCTGAGAAAGCGGTTGGAAGAGAATGAAGCCCGGACACCTCGAGTGGCATGTAGGTATCGACCTCCTGCCTCTCAACCATACGCATAATCTGATCCAATAGTCTGTTGCAATCATTTGTCAGTAAAATAAAAAGATAAAATCCGTAATTGGGAATACTTACTCTCCGAGATCATCGCTACTCTCATGATAGGCATCTGAAAGATCGATGGAAGCAAACATGACGTTCTTGTTAGGCCGGAGATTGCTATCATCCCCTTGTGCTTCGCCAGATCCAATCTCGACATAGGTTCCCCGCTTGGCTATCGCGTGCGAAAAGCCTGCATATTGTCCCGATTGAGTGTTCAGAATGAGTCTGTAAGTATGTCCACTCATGGCATGCGCGGCGGTGGAGCGGCCGACGTTTGGTGCAACCGTAAAGATCTTCAATGCACCGACGCCATACTTGGTGAGAAGAGACTTGTCGCTGTCAGTTGTGGTGGCGTGAACATCAAGCTTGAGTGCTTTCGCCATTTTGACTAGAGCGATGCCTTGAGTCGATGTAGCATTGGCGATGAGAATTTTCTGTTCCGTGTTAATGTACTGAAGGTCTAAGTGTGAGCCGGGATTGGCAATACATACCTGGCCTATAGAGACTCTCGCAGGCGTGGTAAGTGCATACAGCGCGGTGACAAAGCTTGTAGGGATCGCAGCCGCATCCTCAAACGAGAGCCAGTCAGGAATCTTGCGACAACAGGTCGAAGGTGCCAGGTACTGCGTCGCGAAGGTTCCTTGTCCAATGACAGCAACGCGGTCTCCAGGGCTGACTGAAGTGACATCAGCAGCACAGCTCCTGACAACACCAGAGCATTCACGACCAAACTCCAACGCTGGAAGAGCTCCTTGGGCAATTCGACCATCCTGTATCGTAGTTAGACATGAATATGATTGTTGGTCGGAAGGAGGAAGTGGTACTTACCCGCTCGTCAAGTCCAATGGCCCTGACGTCAACAAGCACATGCCCATCTGGCAATGTTGAGTACCCATCGTCTTGTGCCATAGTAAGGCTCTCCAAGATTCCTGGCTCCCTCACCACCAAGTGATGCGGGGCCTGCGATACCTCCATGACAGGCACGTTCATCTTTCGGGCGGGACCATAAGCGTCCTCCAGACCCGAGTCCTTGACAAGCCTGCATGTCCACAGCTGGCCGTCCTTCTCAGCCACTTCATAATCCAGCTTAGAAATAGGATCGCCGTGAGAGTAATGGATTCGCTCCAGAACGTGGTAAATGATACCGGGCGTAATATCACCTTCACTGCTCAAGTCCAGAGTATACAGCTCAAGCTGGCTGTTCTCCATCCTGAGTGTTCGTGCGAAACCCGTCACAAGACCTCCTGTCGTGCTTTGCGGGTCGAGATATACCTTGCGGGTGATCCAGATGCACTTGATGGGCTTAGTGAGCCATGACTTCAATGCCTCCAGCTGCTTAGCATCAAGAGAAGCGAGGAAGCTTCCATCAGTCTCGTCAACAAGAATGAGCCATTCGCCCGACCATTCTCGTGAAGTAAGATCCTCGAGCTTGCCTGAAGTGGCTGAAACACCCTTTTTGTCAAGGAACTGTTCGATATGATCTCGAGTTGCCGAGACGCTGTTCACTCCTGCGATATGCACCTTCTGTTCCGAAAGTGGCTCGGGAGGAGTGTAGTCGACGGGCTTCGCTCTCGCAGTCATGACAATAGTGCTTGAGATTTGACCATTGCTGGCTGTCTCACGCTTAGCTTGTATCTCGGAAACGCTGTCGAAGTCCGCAGCAAGCTCTTGTCGCCATTCGTCCATGGAAAGTCCAGGTCCAGAGCGGCCAGGTGATCGGGGGCGCAGCCACCAGCCGGTCAATGGTCCCTATGAGAGAGTTAGTGATGCAAGATTGGCGCGACGGGAGATTAAAAATACCCAAAGGAAGTTTGCTGAAGTGAGATCTGCGTTGTCAATGTATTAGCTACTAGTGGACATTGTATCGGCGAGGGAGTCATTTACCTTCTGATAGTTCGCCAACCAATAGGTATCCGTCGTCACGCAGCAACGAGCGGATGTTTTTCATCGCGAATGGTAGATCAGCAGTAGCATGCAGCACCTAGAAGACACAAGGTAAGTAATTGATAGCACTCAGTGAAGTGAATCGGACACTTACATTGGCTGCGACCACGAGGTCATACTTCTCCGCACCGAAGCCCTGTTCCGAGATATCCTTCTCGATGTCAAGAGTCTTGAAGTCCATTCTATCCCAGACCGCGAACTTCTTCTTAGCCTTTTCGAAGAAACCTGCTGAGATGTCCGTGAAAGTAAACGATTGGTACGCATCTGGCCCTCCCGCCTTGGAGAAACCGTGCAGCAACTCAGTTGTCGCACCACCAGTTCCGCCTCCGATCTCCAAAACCTTCATGTTGGGGTTCTTGTGCGCTAAAAGCTCGGCAACGGAACGGAGCTTCTGGTTCATGCTTGTTGTGAAGATGCTTTCCTCGTAGAACCTGTATAGAAGGTCATTCTCGAGCCAAACGGCCAGCGCCTCGACTTCGCCTTGGAAGATCTTTGCCATGTTGAGGGCCAGCTGAGATACGATGGCAGCATCGACAGTCTCAGAGATTCCCGAGTTAGCGACGACCTTCAAGATGGCTTCTCGAACTGTTGCAAACCCGTTTTGCTTGTGGCGGGCCACTAGTCTGTCCTGATGCAGCTCAGCTTGTTCAAGCATCCAGGTGTGGTACGATTGCAGGTGGGGAGCGAGGTCCTTGCCCTTCTCAACGCCATTCTCAACAATGAGAGGGATGAGCTCCTTGACCAGGTCTTCGAGATTGACAAGCTTCTTTTCTGCGGGAAGACTCTTGATCTGAATGGAACTGGCCAAGTTGTCATTGTTCGAGATGTCGCCGATATCAGGCTTCCAGGTGAGCCTCAGCCACGGAAGAGTGGGCTGGTCCTCACTCGTGGCCCTGTCCATCTGCAGACCCTCGACAACGAAGAAAGGTTTGGACATCGCGTCGTAGCATTGGACGCCTCCCTGGATTCGAGTGAAGCCAACGGGAGATGTGTTGGTGGTACAGCAAGCGATGTCCGTCTTGTCGGCGGGCATGCGAATAGAGATCTTCTCCATGCGCGAAGGCAACAGCAAAGTATCGATCTCCTGGAAGTAGCCCGAGCGGTTCGCCAGGGCTGGCGTTTGGAGAGCCGCATCCATCATGGCTGGGTGCAAAAGATACCGCTGGCCACGAACCGGCGACTGCGTAGTTGAGGTCATGTCGATCTTAGCAGCGCAAGCTGAAAGTCCTGGACGGACTCGGACTTCAGAGAGTAGCTGGAACTTGGGTCCATAGCCATATCCGACTCTCTCCAGAGTCTTGTAGTAGCTCTTCAGCGGTACTTCAAGAGGCATGTGATGCCAGGAGGTTCTGCCCAGAGATGAACCGTTCTCGTTGTCGGCTGGTGATGGTGAGCTTGGGTCACTAATTGTTTCACGGTTCGGTACTTACATTCAAGGACTGCAGCCTTTCCGTGGCAATGACGGATGTCAACATCGCCTCTGAGCGAAGAAATGGTAAAGTCGTACCACGTCTGTTCAGATCGAGCGTTGTCGTTTCTCGGGATCAAGGTGAGAAAGAGATCAATCGGGCTCTCGTCCGGGAGGATGATGGAATTGGAGAACACAAAGTCTTCTAGCTCAAACGAGTAGTTTGACCAGTTGATCTCTTTGCTCTCCTCTTGAACCTGCATCATAGCCTCGACAACCATTGCTATACCGGTAGTGAAAGACAGCGTCACGATGCCGTTGACCTGCGACGTGTTAGTCTGATGTATATGCCCATAGATCGCTCATCACATACCTGATGGTCAACTAGCCAAGGAGCGTCTTCAATCGACACCTTGTTCCTCCACGTGGGTGCCGAAGGATTCGCACCTCGGCAGCGAGTTCCCAGAATCTCGTGTCGCGGGTTCTTTCGGAATCGCCACTCTGAACTGTTTCGCGGCTCAGTCCAGGGTGTAGAAGAGTAATCCCAAGCATAAGCGGGAAGATTGTCCTGGATATGGTTGGGGAGGCGAACAGACTTGCCCTGGAACAGAGGGTTTGACTTGTTCACTTGTTCCAGACTCAATTGCTTTCCATTGAGCACTAAGTCGCCAGCAAGGCTCATAAGCTGCTGGCTTGTGTCTGCATTTCGGAGCATGGTGGAAAAGTAAGGCAATTGAGGCGAGCCAGCGAGAGACTTGACAATCTCAGATGTTGGCCGCGATAGTAGTGAGTGCGGTCCAACCTCAACGCAGGCTCCGAACTTGCGATCAGCTTGAGCCATGGCCAGTGTCACAGCATCAGTGTATAGAACTGGCGAAACGAGGTTGGCTCCCCAGTAGTCAGCACCAACTTCAGTGCCCACCAATTGACGACCGGTAACAGACGAGTACATGGGAACACGTCCTGCCTTCGGGTGAAGGACGTTTCGGAGCTTCTCCATATAATCATCAACCACCGTCTTCATAGAGCGAGTGTGGTATGCGCGAGTAACAGCAACATTCCTCGAGACGATGCCGTGACTGTTCAGCTCGGTGGCGATGTTCTGGATACCTTCAGTAGGGCCTGCGAGGGTCAGGTTCTGAGGTCCGTTGAAACATGCAATCTGCACATCATGGCGCTCCAGAGCATCTTGAAGTTCCTTCGTGTCTGGTGCGCTTCTCACGGCCAGCATGGCACCCGATGGAGCGTTCTCACACGCGATTCCTCGGTAGTAAGCGACCGTGATGGCTTCCTTGGCAGTAAGGGCACCACAAGCGTATGCAGCGGCTGTCTCACCACCTGAGTGACCAACAACACCATCTGGGAGAACGCCCCAGCTGGAGAGCACGTCGGTGAGAGCAATTTGCACCGCCAGAGAAAGAGGATGGGCGAGTGTTGGCGAGTTGATCTCATCTTGTGTAAGCTCACTAGTGAGCTTGTCTGTATAGAAGTTAGTATCCACTGCCTATTATCTTGGAGCTGTCGTTCAACGTACCTGTTAGAGTCCAAGCTGACTTTTCCGAAGAGGAAAGTTCTCGAATGACATCGTCCAAAAGGAACAAGGTGTTGCGCGCGACAGGGAATGCCTCGAGGAGGCGCTTTCCCATCTGCGACCATGTCGCTCCTTGGCCAGTGAATGTGAAGAGAATCTTGGGTTCGCTGCTGCCAGTTGGCGCCTGATTGGACTTGAGCGCATTGCCCTCGAGCTGCTGGATGAGGTCGCCAACAGTCTGCGCAACAGCGAAAGACTTCCATGGCCGAATGTGAATCTGGCTTCGCGCATTCAGTGCCGTGATAAGAGGAGCGGTCAATTCATGGCATTCTTCGTGAGTCTTGAGGAACTCGAGAAGGTTGGCAGTGTTTGTTTCTCGGGAATCACGAGACGCGCCAGATGTAAACACGAGGAATGAAGGGGAGGACTCGCCGGCATGGCCATTAGTACCGTTGGTAACACTGACGTCATGTGTGCCATTCACACCATCGGTATCGTTAACTCCATTGGCGATGCCATTGGTGATCATGGGCGGTTCATAGAATTCAACGACGGCGTGAGCGGTTGATCCTCCGATACCAAGGGAGTTGACACTTGCTCGTCGGATGGATTTGAAAGGCCAAGGTTGCGGTGCCGTAGCGACACGAACTCTCCATCCATCAAAGTCAACTAAGTCATGGTTAGTCATATAAACAGTGCGTTGAGAAACCGGACAAAGCCATACTCTTGGGGTTGGGTGTTTTATAGTTGGTGTTGGGCGGGATTTCTCCCTTCTCCAGTGCCAGCACCACTTTCATCAGACTGCTAAGACCACTCGCCGCTTCCGAGTGTCCCACATTAGGTTTCGTCTGTTCTGATGTTAGTCTTGTGCGCGCAAGTGTCTGAATTGGCGGCATGCGACTTACCGAACCGACCCAAAGAGGATCTTGGGACTTGTGACTCTCACTGAACACTGCTCCCACAGCGCCGAGCTCTATACAATCACCAACAGGCGTTCCGGTACCATGGCACTCAAAGTACCCTGTCTCGCTGAAGCTCTCAATTCCAGCTTGAGCATATGCTTGCAGGATCGTGTCTCTCTGGGCACTGCCAGAAGGCTCAGTGATAGCTGGCGTAGCACCGGAGCTATGTTCGTTAGCATTAGGTCGTCAATGGAAGAAGGAAGGGACATACCTGTTGGAAGAAGTTCCTCGAATGACGGCTCTGATGCTGTCGCCATCTCGGATGGCGTCGCTGAGCCTCTTGATGTACACAGCGTTGGTGCCTTCACCACGGCCATAACCGTTGGCGGCTGCGTCAAATGTCTTACACTGGCCATCTGCAGCGATAGCACCCAGACGCGTGAGAGACAGCGCATAGTCGGGACTCAGGAACAGGTTGGAGGCACCAATTACGGCACCGTCACACTCGCCCGCTTGCAGCGCTTGACAGGCAAGATGCAGGGCGACTAATGAGCCTGAACATGCTGTGTCAATGGTAACGCTGCGTATCCTGTGTCAGCATTTGTGCCAGTCTCAAGCTCAGTGACAACATACCTGGGACCTCCAAGGTCAAGTGCATGACTGATACGGTTGGCAAGCATAGTTCGAGTCGTGCCAATGGCGATAAATGTCGGAAGATACTCCGGATCCTGCATCAACATGTCGTGATAGTCACTCACAAACATGGCGCAGTAACAGCCGATCTTGGACTTGGAGATTGTCTCCATAGAGATATTGGCTGACTCAAGACACTCATAGACAACCTCAAGCAGTTGCTTCTGCTGGGGATCCATGGCTGTTGCCGTGTCTTTGCTTATACCAAAGAACTTGTGGTCAAACTGCTTGATGTCCCCCTTCACGAAGTGAGCACCTCTGAAGGCTTGTTCCCCCTTCTTGTTAGGGTCCATAGACAGGAAGTTCTCAGTGTTGAACCGATCCTTTGGTATAGGCGTGGCCGATGAACGGCCTGCTCGAACATGGTCCCAAAGGTCCAACGGCTTGTCAATGCCACCCGGTAGGCGACATGCCATGCTCACGATGGCAATGGGCTCTCTCCATGGTGGGATTTCAGAAGGCATTGTGTGTATAAATCAGGGTGAACTGATTGTAGAGAGATGTTGAATAATAAGATACAAGAGCCGTGAACTTGGACAAAATTCACATGAGAGAAACGTGGATAATTGTCCGGGCTATTGGAAAGATACAGACACGGACATATATGGATCACATAGCACCACGTCGAGGAAATCGCAAGACATACTGTACCAGAGACATGAACAGTATCAGTAGACAGCAAGCTCATCCCGGTTCCCGGGTTCATTGCCTGCAGCTCCTAGTGTACCCCACCAACTATTCCAAACCAGGTTATCCTTGTGCCAGTCGGCCTCGATTGAGGTCTTGGTTGGGCCATCCTAGCACGAGTGATGATGAATCCGAGTCCACCGCGATGGATGCGCTACGTCTGCCCATCGCCTCAATTCGCCCTGGTAAGACGCCTCGGGTACCGCGGTGTTTGTAATCTGCTATGGATACGCGGGAAGACGGGCTCCCCACTCTGTTTCTGCAACGTTGAAGGAGCCGATCTGTGGATATTGTAGAAGTTACGTGCAGCTCTAGGCTCGGAGGAGGATGCATGTTAAAGAACATGATGTGACACTAAGGCTGTCAGGTGAAGCTTATCATCTTTTAGGTAATCAGTTATATGCCTCAATGGTCGCCACGTTTCCAGCTGTAGCTGCCATTATGTAGAGGATAAAAGCGTGGAGAGTAAGACAGTTCAGCTGCCGAGACGGTGGAGGTTTTTAAAGACATGACCACAGACTTTTCACAAGAGCAAAAAAGAGTTGATAGTCAAACGATGATCTTGTCAATCTGAGGTTTAGCGACGGGTGGAAATAATGTCAACGGACTCAAGCACAGCCGGCGATGGTCCACGGGTGAGGTAAATACTCATCATCGTAAGATCCAACGTAGACCCAGGCTAATGCAAAATTGACTTTCTATTATGGAAATCATTCCTGAAAGAAGTTAGATCCCGCCGAGGAAGCAACCGTTGTGTGTTTCTCGCGTCATTTGCTCGCTTAACAATCGACCTTGCACAGAAAGCCTTCATCTGCCCATGTCGACACACTCAAACCTCGTCAATTCCTCACAACATCATAGCTTAGCAACAATATCTATAACTTCGGCAATTCTATAATAGACGGTGTGCTGTGCCTCTTTCTGCAGAGTCGGCAGGTATATGCAGGTAGGGTTGTAGCCCAAATCCTTGAAGATTGTTATATGCACAGCCTACCAATCATTCAAGAAGGTCCTAGGATAAATTTCGGGTCAGACTGTTGGTTCGAAATCCTCAGCTAACCAACAAGACTCTGCAGGAATGTTCCTTGTAATACAGGGGCTGTCATGTCGCTCTTCATCGTTGTTGGGTTGTATACGACGCTGCGACCCCACCTGTTGGTTCAAACTCCTACAGGGGTTTAGAATTAGGTCCGGTTAAAGCAGCGATTACTTTGGAATGATAGGAATTACGAATTACCATCACTGCCTTGGGTTAGTTCAACGAGCTATTACTCGTAGAACCCGTCTGTACCTCGGCTTATCGAAACGTAGCAGGCGTCTTCCTCCGCGTTATCACACAACCCACTACCATGGGTTTCAGGACGTGCCACTTCTACCGAACCTGGGATGGGCCGTGCCGCTCCTAGTTCTGTTGGTCCTGCTCTGAACGCATGAAACCAATTTTCAAGTCAAAGCGTACATGGATATCATCGTTTCTCGATTTAATATGCTTTTTGCAGGCATGAGCTCTGACCTTTGCGAATTCCCATGACTGCTGATCGCGATTGGGGGTTGGCCTTGATAGATAAAACTTAGAATTCATTGTAAATCCAGGGTGACTTCGTGTACGGCGTCGATTGGACATTGCGTACACTAAGTTTGGGCGCCCGCTGGCATCTTGATAGGCCTATGCTACGTATATGCAATGGCAGTCCTCGCTACCGTCTCAATGGCTCCCCAATCCACTCGGTGGTCATGTGCTCTTTCAAATGCTACCTTATGCTATCAAGGGTTTCTGTCGAGAAGAAGACAAGGTCCTGTACAGTATGCCCTATCACTTGCCGACAAGTACGACCGATAGGGCAGCAAAAGGATTGACCTCTGAAAGCCTAACAAAGACAACATTTTATTCACTTTGTGCTAGTTTACATGAAATATTGAGAGTCTCTCCACATGCAGTTTCTGAATATGTACATGATAGGTATATCTTGCTCTTGCTTGAAACCGAATTTGGTTCAAGTCTTGGATAAAGGTTTCTAGAACGTTTCAATCACTTAATCTGTATACTGTTTTTGAAAGACTTTTATAAAACTATGGAGCCGAAAAGCTACCCCAAGCCACCGTTACCATGAGAACGTGTTCAAAAAACGCAAACAGACAACCCTTTTTGTGGCCTACATATTCATTTTTGCCTAATCCTCGGCGCGTATCTCAACGGTCTGGCACTCCTCTACATAGATGATTAGACATTGTCATGCTTCAAACAGGGTAGACTTACCTTGCTGGTGAGGGGCAACAAGCTTGCCATCGTGAATAGCCATACCCGGAGAGTCTGTAGCAACTGTCAGTAAAATGTTACACGAGTAGTGAAAATGACAACTGACCTCCAAAGGTGATCTCGGGGCCAGTGGCACCGACTCTGACCTCGACAGGCTGTAATTCCTGCGAGGCCTCCTCGTTCTTGCGCCACATGACAGGCTTGGCGAGGTAACTCTTGTTCTCTACGACCCAGCGACCAAGAGTCCACTCGCCACAGACGAGGCGGCCATCCTTGATCTCAAAGACGGCGGGCTCATCACCGGATTGAGCTTGGAACATTTCCTCGTTCTTCTGCTCAGGCTTGGCAATGTGCTTACCGTCAACGGTAATGGTAAAACGGTGGGGAAGGCTAGACATGTTGGAGTATTGGTTGAGATTGGTAAATCTTAGAAAGTTTGGTAAGATGGTAATGTTCAAGTATGTGATAGATATTTTGTTGTGTAAGTTTGAGAAAGGAAGGAAGATTATCGATTCTCGGTGGCCTTTTATACTACTTTCAACTTTGTGATTCACGCGGCTCAAAATCCTAGTCAGACAATCATTTTCTTCAGTGGCACTTGTCATCCGTCAGTGTTCGAAGATGTTCACACAAGATTCTCGAAACGGGTACAGGATAGTGTCACCTTATGGCTTGAAAGGGATGTGATGCAGACTCGGTCAAGATGATTGAAGTAATCGGCCCGAAGTGAAACAGTGAAACTGTACCAATGAATCTGGATATGGTAGCCCATAGTAGTACCGTAGAACCTCTATAAAGTATGTGAAATGGAAGTGTTGGCGCGGCTTGAAAGCCGAGTGTTCTCACCGATATTCTGTCGTCGTGGCGAGATGACGAAGAAGCCTACGTTGCCTAACACAAAGACCAGCGCAGCCTGGAAGAGGTGCCATGGAGAACTTGTGATCAACTTCTTTGTTCCACTAACGCCAAGAACACATGAGCAATCTTAAGGGATAAAGCATAAACTCCGCCAAACCGTTGTCTCAGGTACAAATCCAACAGAACGCCGTCACATACTACCAACGCCAAAGATATACAATCGAAGCTACCAATCAGGAAAGAGTTTCGAAGTGTCCAGAAGATCGATTCCCTCCTCATCATACTCATGCCAATCCCCCCAAAACGCGTGTACATTGTGCTTATTCTTCTCGCCCAACGCTCTGCCCTTCTGGGCGATTAGGTGAACCCTAATTTTGTCAAACCATACTTCAATTTCGCCATTACCACGAAACTTGACCCATCCATGGTTCTCGTCACCTCTGTACTTCCAATTGCTGCCGTATCCCTTTCTGCCTCGCCATCTGAACCATTCCTTTTCTGAGGATACCTCAGTTGGACGCTTCTCGAAGAACATGAGAATCTTGTAGTCGTTGAAGTTGCCCATCTGTAGCTGGCCTCGCATAGTCTCACCATCACCAGGGGACAGTGTGATATGGCACAGAGCGTCGTGTGCACGGTCTGAGTGCCCCTCACAGCAGGGAAAGTCGGTCTCGATTGCATACTTTCCTTTGAGGTTCCTAAGAGGCTTTGGGGGAGGAGGGGGCATTTGTGGTTCCCCTTCGGACTTGATTGGCGTGGTTCCTTTTGCCTTCTTCGCAGGTGCGCCTCCAGAAGCATCTGACTTTCGTTTTGTCCCAGCGACTGGTTTGTTCTGCCTGTCCCATACCCGCCTGAGTTGGACCTTGATTCCATCCAAGTGTCGGGGGAGATCAAGCCTGTTAGCTTGATTGTGATCAAGGCCTTCCAGCATCCAAGTACGAGCTCGTATTGGCGTTGGCTCAACTTGCCAGAAGCCCATGTGCTTGCGAAGCCACTCAGGTACATCTGCTTCCGTCCACTGTGGCCCGGGGGGGCCTGTTGATGCCGGAGTAGACGTTGCTGATTGAGGCGTCGGGGTCACGCTGGAATGCGGCTCAATTGTCGGCACGGGTTGCAAATGCGCAAGAGTTGCCATGATGCAGAAGAATCGTCCTCTATTCCTAAAACCAAGACAAAACGGATCTAATCTGATGCAAACTCAACGGATGGTTCCTTCTGTTGATCTGTTGAAGATCGAAGTTCTGCTGGATATGGTCGCAGGGTAAGCGCGTACCCAGTCAAGCGTAATAGTGATCGCGACTTTGAGTTCGAGGTTTTCCGTTATCTGACTAGCCTGATCGCTGTACGCGGTGTTACTTGCTTTTTCGCAATTGCGCGCGGGGTACGGTAGTTGCACAGTAGAAATTGCTTTGAGAACTGTTTCCCGTTCATACGCATCCAAAGGACAAGCGATTATGGCGATTGAAGGACCAGTGAAATTCAAAAATGAAAGAAAACGCGACCGTGATAGCACCGCAGAAATTGCAAAAAGACATACAACAGCGGGGATTCGCTGGTCGTCACCGACCCAACTACTAATCCGCC